AACAAATAAAAGAACTTGATTTAGACAGAGACAAACTACCTGTTGAAAGAGCTCTAGGCATGACATGGAATATAGAAAATGATACTTTTGGATTCCAGATTTCAGTCAAAACTAAGTCACTTACCAGAAGAGCTGTTCTGTCCACTGTAAGCTCTGTCTATGACCCCTTGGGCCTGGTAGCTCCATTTGTGCTAAAAGCAAAACTTATCCTGCAAAATCTCTGTCAAATTAAGTGCGGCTGGGATACAATTATTATCAGTGAATTGTGTCAATGTTATGAAAAGTGGTTATCTGAATCCAGATATTAAAAATGATACATTTGGATTCCAGATTTCAGTCAAAACTAAGTCACTTACCAGAAGAGCTGTTCTGTCCACTGTAAGCTCTGTCTATGACCCCTTGGGCCTGGTAGCTCCATTTGTGCTAAAAGCAAAACTTATCCTGCAAAATCTCTGTCAAATTAAGTGAAAATGATACATTTGGATTCCAGATTTCAGTCAAAACTAAGTCACTTACCAGAAGAGCTGTTCTGTCCACTGTAAGCTCTGTCTATGACCCCTTGGGCCTGTAGCTCCATTTGTGCTAAAAGCAAAACTTATCCTGCAAAATCTCTGTCAAATTAAGTGCGGCTGGGATACAATTATTATCAGTGAATTGTGTCAATGTTATGAAAAGTGTTTATCTGAATTGGAACAACTAAAACATTTTCGAATAAACAGATGTCTAAAACCAGAGAACTTTGGTAAAACAACAACAGCTCAGTTGCGTCACTTCTCTGATGCAAGCGAGCAGGGGTACGGCACAGCCAGCTACCTGAGACTAACAAACAGCTCAGGACACGTCCACGTGGTTTTAATAATGGGCAAATCAAGAGTAACACCAATAAAGAAAATGACTATCCCCAGACTGGAGCTCACTGCTGACACTCTTGCTGTTCGTGTTGATGGCATGTTGAAATCAGAGCTGAAAATGGACTTACAGGAATCTGTTTATTGGACAGTCAGTCAGTCTGTATTGAAATACATTCGAAACCAGTCACGAAGATTTCAAACCTTTGTTGCAAATCGAGTTGCAGTAATCCAAGCACTGTCTTCAATGGACCAATGGAGATATGTTGATTCTAGGCACAATCCTGAAGATGATGCCTCTCGTGGGTTGAATATTGAGACATTCTTGAAATCTAAAAGATGGATTAATGGACCTGATTTCTTGGCACATGATGAAACACAATTCCGAAGACAATGCAATATGCTGTATCAAATGACGACCCTGAGATTAAGAAAGATGCTTTTGTGAACACTGTCAACATTGTACAAAAGAGTCCCACCAGCAAACTAATGGAATATTTTTCAGATTGGAATAAACTAAAAAGAAGTGTTGCATGGATACTGATGCTCAAGGAACTGCTGCTGAGAAAGACAAAAGTAAAGAAAGATGAAAAACTGTGTGAAAATGAGAAGTTGACAGTGAAAGATATAAAAAATGCTGAACAATGTATTCTTGCCTATGAACAAAAACGATACTATAAACAAGAAATTGACCTCATAAATCAGGGAAAGTACTGCCAAAAGAACAGTCCACTCTATAAAATGGACCCCAAGCTGGATCAAGATGGCCTACTAAGAGTTGGTGGCAGGGTTAACAAAGAGTCAAATGGAACAAAGTGAAAAGAAATTTACAACCGGTGATGTTGTTGTCATTGCTGACCACACCGCTCCCGGGAACTCATGGATCCTAGGAAGAGTCCTGCAAACACAACCTGGAAGTAAAGGATTGGTATGGAGTGCCTTCATTAAAACTAAGACTGGTATCCTCCAACGACCTGTGACCAAACTTTACTTAATATTATAAAATGAAGATTAAATGGATTAACTTTGAAACTGCCTCAAAACCAAATTTGACTGACCTGACCTTACTTGACTACCCCCCCTATCCAGATATTAAAAATATTTAATAAAATGTGAAAAATTTGAAATAGAATGTAAAATTATTACTTATTAATAATATTGTAATTGCTAGACCAGCAATTAGGGGCTGGAGATGTTAGAGCCATAATTTAATTTATTAAATAGTTATTTTATATTTTACCATAAATTAATATTTTATTATACCTTAAAAACAATTATTAAAATATTATTCTTAAAATTATAGAAATGATTTATTTTCAGTCCCAATTTAAGTTACTTATGTCAATTTGTCTTTTGGTTTATAGCGTAAGAGGGTGGGTCCACGTAAGAGGGTGTGTCCTAGGTAGGTAAATTAGGTCAAATAATCAGGTCAAATAGGGAGACAGGTGTGTGGGGAGAATGGCATTGTGGAGGGCGACCGACACGGTCTTTGACCACACCGCACTGAACTGCATACGCTGAAAATCTGTAAATAAAAGAAATCAAACGAACTACGGACTACGTGAGTTTTTGTACATTTCGTGAGTCAAGAAGCAGACGCCCTAAGGATGGCTATTTACATGTGTTACAGCTCATGTTAAACTAGAAGCCATAACACTGTTAATTATATTATTTATTTATTTATTTATTTTTCTACTTCTGTGGCATCTGATTTGTCTGCACAAAAAATAATAATAATAAAAAAAAAGAACGCTTCCGCTCGGGTCCTTACTCGAACTAGGAAGTACGAGCACATAAGTCCTGTGCTCAGGTCTCTGCACTGGCTTCCTGTGCCTCAGAAAATAGACTTTAATTGGGGGCATTTTCTTAATTCGTGGGAACGATTTAATCAAAACGTCCGAACGATTTAGCTAAAGTGTGGGAACGAATTATATATTGTGGGAACAAAATAGTAATTTGAGGCCACGATTTAATATCTTTTTTCGCGTATGTCATCGGGCGGGCTCTGTAGACTTCTCCTCCTGGATGTCAGCATAAATGTTTCAGATGCAGAGGGGCTGTTCACGACCCGATGACAAACACAGGTCACCAAAGGCCAGCAGCTTTCACCTCTGGCAAGATGCTTTGTAAGAAATGAGATAATAGTCGCCCATGAAACTATGAAATGGGGACTTCCCTGCATGGACAAATTCCCCACAAACCAGTTTGTTTGGTTGAAGCTCTCCTGTGTTTTAGCTAGTAAGCTATTTATAAGTTGTTTTGTTCATTTGCTATTAACTTATGTTTCTGCTTAATTTACTGAAAATGCCTGACTAAGATGACTCTTAATTCAAACTGAATCTGTTTCTGAACCTTTTGGCGCAGCGACAAATGGCTGAAGCTCTGTAGTTTTGGCCTCTTAAGTGTAATTTACCTGTGCTCCACAGAGGAAAATCAGATTTCAATTTCTGCCTACATTTTTGGGAGTGAATATAAGAATAGGTATACCTATACCTATAAGAATAGGTATAGGGAATGAATATAAGAATAGATATAGCTGGAGTCCCTGGGGATGGTCTGAGAGATGACATATTGAGCATTTGTTGTTTGTTGACTGAAGCAGATTAAACATCAGATTTAGGGATTTGTAATGAAGCATACAAGTCCAGGATTTATTCATATAAAATTCTTAAACAGTTTGTTTGGATTTTTCTCAGATTCTTCTTAGAATTAAAGTAAGTGAGTTACAGATTCCCATTAATGTTTCACATGTCTATGAGATTGTTCCCGTTTAGCAGAAGCTGAACAAAGTTTTAAGAAAAAGTACAAGGGTCCATATCAGGGCTCTCAGAACATGAACAGGTTAACAGAACTATTAGCAGAGGAGATTAATATTAGTTATTAAAATTAAAGAGGTGAAATTTAAGATCCTGTGAATAACTTTACACTGTCCTGTGTGCACCTAGCTTGGCTGCAATACTATTACTGCCTGGATGCAGATAGTTGCAGCAAAAAACACACAGGTGTTCAAAGTGGGACTCTGTGAAGGCTGAGAGGGTCCCAGGGTCGTATATGAAAGCCCAAGGGCATAGTCTGAATGCAAAACATGACACTGCAAAATGACATCTAATGTTGTTAAGTGTTCTGTATGATCTGGTGTTACCTGGGAGCGATATGGAGAATGATGTGTATGCATTACTGTTGGAGGCTTTTTAAACAGTTCATCACTGCTTCATCATCTCGAAATCGAGATCTAATTGAGATCTAATATAGGTCTTATACATGCTTATTAGAAGTCTGTTACTTGTTTCTCAGTGGTAGCTCTATCAAAAAATCCCCATAATGAGCCACTTTACACACACAGTACTTCATTTATTGAACCTCAAACCAAAGGAAATTTGACGTTCAGAGATTACCTGGTGGTTAATAGATGGTGGCTGAGGGACTGTTTGGCAAAGGACACACACACAGGTGTTAAACTTCATGTCCCAGTTACTTGTAGTAGAATATAATTCAGACTAATGATTGCAAGACCAAGTAGTCACATCACTATTGATATATGAAAAAAAAAATGCTAGAGCAGGTGGGTGGACCATTTTTCTTGTGACAATAATACAGATAAGACTTCTAAAATAGTCACTTGTTTATCAGATGAGGATTGGCTAAAGACCTCAGTACAGCATTTTCATTACCAAGACAGCCAGAAAAATACAAGATTTTTGGATTTCCTTTATATGCTTTGTGTATGTAGGTCTCTGTGGCATATTGTCCTTCTTGCTCTCTCCTGTTTGATGCATATAGGGGTTCACAATGAGTCAGGCAGCAGTACTTCCCGCTCCTCTCCCTGCCCACAGCATCACACTTTTTGGAGCAGTGCGTAAAAGAGTGGGGGATGTGTCCAAAAAATATGCCCATGTTCGCCTTGTTTGATCAAAAGAGAAAGTCAGCTTTTACCAGAAATGTATATCTATGTTGGTCAAACTGATTATATCTTTGAATGCAAAGGTTGGAAAATTTGTGTAGTAGTAAAAATATGAAGTGTTTTGTACAAGCATGAAAAAAAGAGATTGTGCGGGTGGTTGCTGATACTCAGTTTATTGGTTGCTTTTATAGACATGGGTTGTTGTTAGGTTTATCTAAACATTAAAAACAAGAAGAAAGACAAGAGATTAATTCAGTTTTACTCATGAGGAGAACGGGCAGAGAGTGGGCATCAGGCCAACAGTCTCCACACGTTCTGATGACTCAAGGCCGCTCTCTTTTTATTTCATTAGGAGGCCCTAGTTACAGAATGATAATTCTCAAGGGGAAGGGGAAACCAGCAAAGACATAATAAGAAACTGATGCAGCTAAGCATAGTATAAACACATAAAACATGATTAACAATCAGGAGGTGGACAGACACCATCATAACTCTTGCATGTGTGACAGTGGGAGTTGGCTTCATGTGAGGAATCATCTCGAGGTTCGCAAGAGCGATAGGTCACTGCACACAGTTGTCAAACACAAAGAGGTTATTCATTTTCATACAAGTGATTGGTACATTATAAATGAAAGAATTGTAGTACATAAATGGTTAACTCATAGGCCTAGAATATCACACAAGTATTTAGCAAATATGGGATAATAAAAAATAATAATAAAAACAGTTGTCCAGTCAGGTACTTACTTCTTAACTTTTGAAGAGTCAGAGGGAATGCTGTTACCCACTTCTTTTCAGTCAAATCAACCATTCTAGGAAGAATTTTGACCAGTTTATACTCCATACCCTCAAATAACAAAAAAAAAAAAATAATAATAATAATAGTAATCAAAAGTCTGCCTGAATTTTTTTCTTAATTACAAGTCACTAAATTCTTAATTACAAGTCCCTAAATTTCATTTTATGCTTCAGCTTTGACATGGGATTTGTTAAGACCTAACAAATGTTCAATCTACTGTACTGTCTATCAGATAATCCCAACAGACACCAGCTATATTCTGATATATACCAAATAATAATCTGCAGCATTTGAAATCAGATGTTCCTCTGTGCATAGCTTGTTACTTATAATGAGAGTAGATCAGACAGCAGAGGCTAAAACTACAGAGCCTCAACTTCACAAAGCTGTTTGTCTGTGCTCCAGAGGGTTCAGACACAGTTTCTGTGTGAATAGGGAGTGATTTTGGCCAGATAGCCAAACAGACAGATGGTTAGCTTTTAATTTACTTCATAATAAACAATGGAGACAAACAAAAGCAATAACAGCAAAAGATGAATTAAGCATAGTAAACTTTTCTCAATAGTGGTGCCAGAATATACTAATATGTGGAGTACAACGTATGTTCTTAATGATCTCGGTCTAGTTCAGCCTTGTGTGTGTTTACCTCCTTGTAGCAGCACAGGATGTCAGCTGACCTGTGTGGTGAACGATGGAGGGGACGACGATGTGTCACAGTGGAAACAGAAGCTCTGATGTTGGTGAATACTTCCAGTTTCACCTCAAACCATTCTCAACTTAAGGGCTGAGAGACTGAGTGGGACCCAGACACAGAAGGAGGCTGTGATCAGATGGGCAACCTGGTGGACCGCTATCAGAGTGGAAATATCAAAGGCTTGTGACGTGGAGCTCCATACCACAGTTTCCTTAATAAACTAAGTCTTTCCCTTCCAAATAATACTGGTTTTAGCTTTTGGGGTAATTCTTCACTAGATTATGTCAGTCCTAAATATCTTTGGTTCCAGCACTAAGAGCCAAATTTATAGAAACAATTTTTCCTTATTATTCTGAACTGACAACTTAAAATAGTGGTAGTAGTGTAATATTTAATGTTGAATGCCTCACAGCAAGAAGGTCCTTTCAGGATCCTTCTGTGTGTAGTTTGCATCTACTTCCTGTTACGTAACATCACCCTTACATAGCTCACAGCACCCGTTTTCACGTGTATATATACACACTGTTGATATATTATTTGTAATGCATGTTTTGTTTTGCATGACTTCATGTCACGATGACGAAACTCCTTAGAGGTTCTAACTTTCGATACACAAACTACATCCACTCAAGCTTTTTGATGTGGCTACACAGGAAAATCAGGACCATTAATAGAAGTCAAAATTATAAACATATTTTATTGACAATACTTTCAGGATCATATACAACACTAGACATGTTTTTAGACACATAGCATGTGCAATAATCACAGTTTTATAGCTAAGCAAACTTTTATATTGAGTATTTGTGTGTGTATAGGTGGATACAATTCCTATTTTACTAAAAAGTACAGTGCAAGTCTTAAATGTCAATATAGGAATACAGCCTTGACAAATTATATCATATGATGAATGGCTTCTTTAATTATTTGCCCAAATATGGGTCAATGTTGCACATTGACACGTGTAAATAAAATGGGATTCAAAGCACTCTGAGACAACAACTTTTTGACCTCCCAAACCTTTACAACCACTGAACACCCAACCCCAACCATACATCCTTAATGTTACCTGACTGGTATCAGTGCAGAAGGAAGAGGGTCTGCTCTCTTTGTGATTTCTTTATGATACTGTCTTAATAGCAGTATCCAGTTAAACTCAATGTTTCATGGGCTGCTAGTCGCCAGGGCAGAACTCTGACAGTTCATGGATAAAGAAGTAGCCATCTGTGAGCTGGGATGTACAATGCAGATGGACACTGCTGGTCTTGAAGAGCTGAACTTCAGTGCCAAAGAAAACAACAGATTTAGATCTCTCTGTCTGTAGAGTGCTGTTTTTTGAGTCGTCCCTGTGCACAAGTTGCACATCCCCACTGTGATCATTTGTGCTCTGCCTCAGCCAGCCATGGATCAGGTATTTACAATATTTCTTTGCTTGAAAGATTTCATAGTGTTGTTTGGTTTCTGAAAAAAAAAAAATGAACAAAACTATATAAAAAAAAAAAAACTAACAATTTACTTGCATACTGCAGCTCCTTACATTGCTACAAAATATCATAGCACCATTCTATCAGAAAGATTAACTAGGGCTGATTCACAGTGATCACAGTGATACCTATTCACCAATTTAATTCATTCACTTTTGGTCAATCTCCAGTCATATTTAAACATCTTAACATGTTTTTAATAATAATAATAATCGTGGACCAAACATTGATTTGCTGTTGTTTACTGTTTCCAAAATATCAAACCCATTTACAGATAAATGTACTACTTTCTTCCCCTGTCAGGTAAAGTAAAATTTTAAATTTTTACATTGAAAAACTGTGAAACAAACATTATCTTAGATCATAGTGTGGAACCTAACATGGAACATTTTAGATAATAACGTCTCTCACATTTCTATCATCCTGCATCCTTACCTTGAAGCCAGGACCTGTTATGGATTTTTCTAGCAGCACTTGCTGTGGGTTGTATGTCTTTCTTTAAATTACAGAAAGAGTATTGATAAAACTTAAATTCATGAACAGATTCATCTGTGTCACTTACAGAATGGGAGAAGCTTACCTGGGCACAGGCTGGTCCAAACATAAAGAAGAAGAGCAAACAGGTGGAGATGATAGTCACTAAGCTCACCATAGACACCAGGACATTGCTCCTCTTCAAACAGCTGCTGCTCTGAGGAGGCACTGGTTCTGCACTCGGCTCCTCCTTTAACCTCTCCATCCCTATCTGCAAAGTCTGCCCTTGCTTATGGCTCTCCATGATGCTTCCAAGACCTTTGCCCAGCTCTGAATCCTTCAACCTTAATATACTGTGCTTTTCTTCCCACACACAGAGAATGTGGGAATCCAATGCTCCTTTAGCCCCGCCCCTGAGCAGTCATAAATAGCAGATCGAATCCCTCTGCTCCTGTCTGCCAATGCTATTAATGTTTACACTGTTTCATTTCCGTTCTCCACGTGTAGTATTACCAGTCGAATGTCTACAGACTGTCGGTATTTCATTGTGGCCTGGCCTTTTGCCAGAGCCAGACTGCTTCTCTGGAGTGAATGCAACACAATAAGGCCATAAACACAACACATGAAACAGTATTAGAGAGAGAGACAGTTATATATTACATAACATACTTCCTGGGCCATTTTTAAAATTATTCATAATTTAGGGTAAGAGACCTTGCTCTTGTTATTCAGCTCATTTTGAGCAAAATTGTCTATAGGGTGGGGACAGGGTGGAGGCAGGATGACAGTGCAGGTTCACGTTAATAAACAATGAACAAGAACATGCATAAACTGTTTATTTGCTGTCAAGGCCTTGGATACACTGCGTACGTATTTTACCCTACACAAGCGTAAAATTTCAAATTAAAAAAGTTTATTGTCAAATTTCCATACGAACATATGAAAAATTTAAATTATGTTCTCACTCCCAATCTTCTAAATTAAATAATAATAAAATAAAAGGAAAAATCTAAAGTTATTCTTTAGAGAGATGTACATCCCTGCTTCTTGGCCACCTGGTGGTGAGAGAGGGGAGAGAGTTCAGCATCCTAACAGCCTGGTGGATGAAGTTGTTTGTGAGTCTGGTGGTGCAGGAATGGAGGCTCCTGTACCTCCTCCCACAGGGCAGGAGGCTGAACAGATTGTGTGTCGGGTGACTTGCATCACTCACAATTGTGATGGCTGTGCGGGTGAGGACGGTGGTGTGTATGCGGGTGAGGCGGATAGTGTGTATGTGAGTGAGGCGGGTGGTGTGTATGCGGGTGAGGCACATGGTGTATATGTGGGTGAGGAAAGTGGTGTGCATGCAGGTGAGGAAAGTGGTGTGTATGCGGGTGAGGAAAGTGGTGTGTATGCGGGTGAGGCGGGTGGTCTGTATGCGGGTGAGGCGGGTGGTGTATATGCGGGTGAGGCGGTTGGTGTATGCGGTTGAGGTGGGTGTGTATGTCTTGCAGGGAGGGGAGTGGTGCACCAGTGATCTTCCTGGCTCTGTTCACTATGCACTGCAGGACTCTCCTGTTGTGGTCAGTGCAGTTTCCGCTCCACACAGTGATGCAGTTGAAAAGGAGGCTCTCAATGGTTCCTCTGTAGAACGTGGTCATGATGGGTTTTGAGGCACTTGCCCGTTTGAGTTTCTGCAGGAAGTAGAGGTGCTGCTGGGCTTTCTTCACCAATGATGCAGTGTTGGTGGTCCAGGAGAGCTCCTCACTGATGTGCACCCCCAGGAATTTAATGCTGCTTGCTCTCTCCATAGCAGCACCGTCGATGGTCAGTGGTGGATGTTGGGTGTGACCTAGAACTGCAACTTTTGAAATCCTCGTGTTTGCCGTGGTGAGCCTGCACAGAAAGTAAATAAAAGCCTCTTCAGCTGTTAGTTTCCCTGTGACCTGATACAAGCGACTAAACACGCCCAATCAAGTTTGATAGACCTTCCAATTGACAAACACTTTGCCAGTGCTGACGTGTGCCAGGCCTGAGCAGCACGTCATGCGCGCATAGATTTCAGAAAATAGGATCCATCCTGTTTTTTGACCCTCTACGAGACCGTAGGCGTGTATCCCCATCAAAATTCTGTACACAGAGAGCATGCATCTATTGTTGATTTTCTGCATTTACCATCAGCATAACGTGTTCTTGGGACAGTTAATTAAAGACTGTTAGTTAATGCTTTGACATTTACTTTTGAAATCTTCGCGTTTGCCGTGGTCAGCCTGTGGATACAGTAAATATAAGTCAGTTGTTGTCATGTAAGTGCCAGGTGGAGCAGCACGCCCTGCGCGCGTAGATTTCAGAAAAATAGAAACCAATCTATTTTTGAGGCTCTGCGCGAACGGACTGAGCACGTATCACCACAAAAATATACAGAAAACATGCGTCTGTTGTCTTATTTGTGTATCGCTCGGGGCAGTTCTGTATCGTCTGAAGAGCCCAGGTAGGTTCTTGTCCTGCTTGAGCTGACAGTGATCTACACATCAGACGATCAGACGTTTAGCCACTTGTCACAGGTGAAAATAACAAGCTGAACAGGCTTGTATTTACAGTCTGTACTGGCTGACCATGGCTGGCCATGACGAGAATTTCCAAAGTAAATTTGAAACCACAAATTGAAAGCATTTTTTAAACTGGGCTCGCAAGCTGCATGCATATTTCGCATCTGGAGGGGGGAGGGGAGGGGGGAATAATTACGTAAATATCTCGTACTCAGCAAACCGCACCAGTGAAAACGAGACTGTGAAATGTTCCAGTAAAACAACGGAAAGTGAATTATCTGTGTTTTGATTCAGCAGTTACAACATTGCAAGATAGATAGATCATAGATACTTTATGATTTATCTTATTTTACTAATACACAGCCTGGCTCCAAATTCACTCCTGTTATCGTTAGCATCGCGAGCACAATTTGAGTGGCGCTGAATGCTATGGGTGACGTCACACTCGCTTAGTCCACTTTTTTATAGAGTCTTTGGTTACAGGTCAGATCTGTGGAGAGGCAACTCCACTTACAGTCAGAATGCCTGTTTTTCTCTGTATTTTTAAGATATAAAACCACCTGTAACTGAATAAATGTAAGGTAGAGCTTTTAATTTTGATACTGTGAAACAATCCAAGCAGAGAAATTACATATCCATAAGAGAAAGCAGGTGATGGACCCTCCATCAGAAAAATAATGCAATGCACCTGGACAAAATAAAGTAGGCTATATTTGTAAGTACAAGTTGCACCACCAATTTATCATGAAAGTAGCTACATCCTTTTAGAGTCTTTTTCAAAGGAAATGAAAGCCACAAAACCAAGCAGACCTCTCAGAAAAAAAGACTTACATAAATGACAAATACTCTTGTCTTTAATACAAAATATTGTACTGAACAACTATAAATGTTTGGAAAAAACTATGACATTAAAATAAATAAAAAGAAGTGGTGAGGAGATGTATTACAATATTTACTTTATGTTTGGTGAATGCAAAGAGAAACAATGACTTTAATTTGACACATCTTATTAACAATCAGCTTCTGGCAATATTCTTTTGATTTTATTTTCATAACTATTTTATTCTCTCTCACTGGCCATTTCTAAATTACGGGTGTCTACCTTTCTTTAAGATTAAGAATAGTAATAGATTTTGTATTTTTTTAGTTTAATCAAAACATAATAACTACACTTTTCCCCTGCCCAGGCAAAAACTTATGTGATTCTATTATAATGGCCCATTTTCATCCTGATGCCACTGCAATAAAAAAAAAAGAATGAAAATTAATTCTACTTAATTTTATTTCTTTTTTTTTATTTTATCTGAAGCGTATTGTGAGACCTATAAGTCTTATTTATATATTTGTAATTCTCAATTTATGACATTTATGGTGGAAGTTCTGCCACGTTTATTGATGCCACCTGATGTTATTGTTTTGCATGAAAAGTTGCACAGTATAGCTTTAAACATATCTTCATGGAGACATTTTATAAAAGTTACATTACATTATTCGTCAGTTAAAACACACGTGATGCAGCGAACTTCCTCTAACAGGAAACTAGACGAAAGTCGCTCAAGTCAGCCACACACGCAAATTTTTATAGACCAGAGCTAGATTGACGTGCTGACAATTCCCTTCTTTTCTTTAAAATGAAGATGAGACTTTTGATGATTGTGTGTTTGGTTGGAAGTGGCTTTGCGGAAAAACCTCCTGGTAAGAAATAAACTGATATTTTACTTTTTATTTGAAAAATATTTCTTGTTGATAATGTGTTGATAAGAAAACAACATTAAATATAGGAAATCTGTTTGGATATTCTAAAGTATACATATATATATATATATATATATATATATATATATATATATATATATATATATATATATATATATATATATATATATATATATATATATATATATAAAAATGTGTTTCTCACCTTCCACGGTGGTAGGTCTCTCTCACCCTCATTGGGCTCGGGTCCTCTACCAGAGGCCTGGGAGCTATATATATATATATATATATATATATATATATATATATATATATATATATATATATATATATATATATATATATATATATATATGTCTGTGTGTGTTTTTAAAAGGGTAGTTCTAAGCCTTTGTTTGATTTAGTGTCATATTTTTTACTTCCCATGACATTTAGTGAGTGAATTCCCCTTTACGTCAACGGGCAGTCTGTTCTCGATATGATCCGCGCGTGGGTTAGTGGTATTAGTTTATTATTTTTATTTGTTAATTAGCTTACTAATTTAGTTTTGTTAATTTGTATAATATATTTTTGCTATGTTAATATTATTCTTACTAATTTCTTAGTCTAAATTTGTACTAAGTTGATTCATGCCTTTGTTCTCCGGACAGCAGCGTAATGAAGTTGGCTCAACGTTTGACGTTCGCTTTATATTTGGGGTTTAACTTTCCCACAGTAAGACCCAAACATGCATTTTGCCTAAATAACTTGATCTAGGTTAAACAAAGTGCAACCTGATAATGTCTATATAACAAAACAACAGCATAAATAGTACCTATCGATTTATAGGCAAAAAATCTACTCAAGCTGCTCCAACCTTCGTTCTGTGGTTACAGTCTATGTTAGGGACCGTCAACAAATAGTCACCACATTGTTGGAGGGAGACATTAGTGGAGCCGGGGTACACAATAACTACTTGAACAAAAAATTCACCAAAAATGAACCAAAACACTTTTTCCAAATCTGTGGGGCGTAGTAGTTCCCAAATAAATGTGTTTATTTACTACAGGTCACAATTGGCCCCTAGGTCACATTACTGTGAAGAGGGACACAAAAAATACTTGAAAAGATTCACCAAAAATCAACTAAAACACCGTTTCCAAATCTGTGGGGCGTAGTAGATCCCAAATAAATGTGTTTACTTACTACAGGTCACAATTGGCCCCTAGGTCACATTACTGTGAAGAGGGACACAATAATTGCACTAAAAAAATCACCAAAAATGAACCAAAACACTTTTTCCAAATCTGTGGGGCGTAGTAGATCCCAAATAAATGTGTCTACTTACTACAGGTCATAATTGGACCCTAGGTCACATTACTGTGAAGAGGGACACAAAAAATACTTGAAAAAATTCACCAAAAATCAACCAAAGCACTTTTTCCAAATCTGTGGGGCGTAGTAGATCCCAAATAAATGTGTTTACTTACTACAGGTCACAATTGGCCCCTAGGTCACATTACTGTGAAGAGGGACACAATAATTGCACTAAAAAATTCACCAAAAATCAACCAAAGCACTTTTTCCAAATCTGTGGGGCGTAGTAGATCCCAAATAAATGTGTCTACTTACTACAGGTCATAATTGGACCCTATGTTGCATGACTGTGAAGAGGGACACAATAATTACACTAAAAAATTCACCAAAAATGAACCAGAACACTTTTTCCAAATCTGTGGGGCGTAGTAGTTCCCAAATAAATGTGTCTACTTACTACAGGTCACAATTGGACCCTAGGTCACATTACTGTGAAGAGAGACATAAAAAATACTTGAAAAAATTCACCAAAAATCTACAAAAACAGTTTCTCCAAATCTGTGGGGCGTAGTAGATCCCAAATAAATGTGTCTACTTACTACAGGTCACAATTGGACCCTAGGTCACATTACTGTGAAGAGGTACACAAAAAATACTTGAAAAAATTCACCAAAAATCAACCAAAGCACTTTTTCCAAATCTGTGGGGCGTAGTAGTTCCCAAATAAATTTGTTTATTTACTACAGGTCACAATTGGCCCCTAGGTCACATTACTGTGAAGCGGGACACAATAATGTGTGTAATTATTGTGTCCCGCTTCACAGTAATGTTTAAACAAACAATGACTGATTATAATGTTGTGCAATGGGGGTGTTCCAGCTACTTTTTTGACCTGTTCTCCAAAGGCAAATTAAGTATTGTATTGACTGGCCAAGCTGAAGAGGACATCTGCTGGCCCCCAACTTTTACTGATATTATTTAGCTCCATAATTCACTCAACACTACAGCCTTTAACAAACTTTGTCCATCTTTGTATAACAGAAAACATTAGCAGGTAGCTTATGGGTTTAATAGTAGGTGCTCAGACTACTCCTACACTTTGCCTTATCAAAACAATTGTTGCATATGTGTTTACTTTACTTTATATAAAACAGTCATTATATATTTCCCAACAGATGTGGACTGTATGGTGATTGGTATGAAATATGTGCAATGTTTATGGAATACTTTGGATGTCAATTACACTTTTTACAGTGGGTAAGTAACAAGTTGTGTCTGAAATTTTAAAAAAATCTCTATATTAGAAACTATCATCATTGATCTTTTGATATGAGTTTTATTATAGATTTGAAGGTGAATCCTTTCGTGAATGTGATACCTACATAGTCAAGGATGGCCTGAATGTTGGATGCAATCAGCCCGAAGCCAACAGCACACTTTGGAAAAAAAGATTTGGAACATTTTTAACTAAACTTCAAAAAGGAAACCAGAATTATCTCCAGAAACATGAACTCAAAGACAGAGGTAACACATATGTTGTAAAGAGCACAACACTTCACTCATCTTGCTTGTCAAACTGTGACATGGTGGTCACATAGTCAGGTATGTGTGTAGTATCAGACACTACTCTTTCATCAGTCTGCCCCGCGACAGCTGCGACAAGAGATGTATGAAGTGAATGAATAACATGCAGTGTATAAGACTATTAATTACTCTCTCCACTGAATCAAATAATTTAACCAAACAGTTGAATTTAAGGGTTGTCAAAAAATATCAATACCCAGATAACATCATAATGATATATAAAGTAGTGATGCAGGAAAAAACACCTTTCACCTTTCATGAATAGTTTTAGAAATGTTTTTATGAGATTTAGCATAGTAAACATTTTATTGTTAAAAATTACATTCTATTGTATAAAAAGACCATTATAAAGGAATTGACATGATCAATAGAATAAAAGAGCCTTCTCCTTAGTATCAATATCATTATCACTATCACTATCATATCAATACATTGACTTCTTTGTCATTTCCAGTAAAGTTGGATCCACCTTCCAACCTCACTGTGGAGTACAGGTCTGACTCCAGGTTGTGTTTCAAGTGGATGCAAATGAACGATTGTGTTGAGAGCCAGGTCCGCTACAGACTCAACAACAACAACTGGCAGGTGAGAAAGAAAAGTGACTAAGTAACTAAGTAAGTAAGACTAGTAATTTGCCATGAAACATTAAAAATGTAAAAGCACAAATGTTGAGCCTGATAATTTTGACTAGACCCAAGAACTCACTGAATTACAACAATAATGTGCAAGACTAATGACCATCACTGTATTTCCCCTGGTTATTTACGTTGTGTTTAATTGACAGGAATACATGATGAGTGACAACATTCCAGAGTATTGCTTTAACTTGCCATCAAACCCGTCCCGTTACGAGCTGCAGGTACGGAATCGCGTGAACAACAACTGTGGCTCTTCTAATCTGTGGAGCGAATGGAGTGAACCAGTCGCCTGGGGCGCCCACAACATGACATGTAAGAAGAGAGAAAAATATATTCAGTTATCCTTTCTGCCATTAAGTTATCTTTTTTGGCTCTGTTTGTTTTATTAATAAACAAGTTCAAATCAGTTTAAACAAACAATGACTGATTATAATGTTGTGCAATGGGGGTGTTCCAGCTACTTTTTTGACCTGTTCTCCAAAGGCAAATTAAGTATTGTATTGACTGGCCAAGCTGAAGAGGACATCTGCTGGCCCCCAACTTTTACTGATATTATTTAGCTCCATAATTCACTCAACACTACAGCCTTTAACAAACTTTGTCCATCTTTGTATAACAGAAAACATTAGCAGGTAGCTTATGGGTTTAATAGTAGGTGCTCAGACTACTCCTACACTTTGCCTTATCAAAACAATTGTTGCATATGTGTTTACTTTACTTTATATAAAACAGTCATTATATATTTCCCAACAGATGTGGACTGTATGGTGATTGGTATGAAATATGTGCAATGTTTATGGAATACTTTGGATGTCAATTACACTTTTTACAGTGGGTAAGTAACAACTTCTGTCTGAAATTTAAAAAAAAATCTTTATAATAGAAACTATCATCATTGATCTTTTGATCTGAGTTTTGCTATAGATTTGAAGGTGAATCCTTTCGTGAATGTGATACCTACATAGTCAAGGATGGCCTGAATGTTGGATGCAATCAGCCCGAAGCCAACAGCACACTTTGGAAAAAAAGATTTGGAACATTTTTAACTAAACTTCAAAAAAGGAAACCAGAATTATCTCCAGAAACATGAACTCAAAGACAGAGGTAACACATATGTTGTAAAGAGCACAACACTTCACTCATCTTGCTTGTCAAACTGTGACATGGTGGTCACATAGTCAGGTATGTGTGTAGTATCAGACACTACTCTTTCATCAGTCTGCCCCGCGACAGCTGCGACAAGAGATGTATGAAGTGAATGAATAACATGCAGTGTATAAGACTATTAATTACTCTCTCCACTGAATCAAATAATTTAACCAAACAGTTGAATTTAAGGGTTGTCAAAAAATATCAATACCCAGATAACATCATAATGATATATAAAGTAGTGATGCAGGAAAAAACACCTTTCACCTTTCATGAATAGTTTTAGAAATGTTTTTATGAGATTTAGCATAGTAAACATTTTATTGTTAAAAATTACATTCTATTGTATAAAAAAGACCATTATAAAGGAATTGACATGATCAATAGAATAAAAGAGCCTTCTCCTTAGTATCAATATCATTATCACTATCACTATCATATCAATACATTGACTTCTTTGTCATTTCCAGTAAAGTTGGATCCACCTTCCAACCTCACTGTGGAGTACAGGTCTGACTCCAGGTTGTGTTTCAAGTGGATGAAAATGAACGATTGTGTTGAGAGCCAGGTCCGCTACAGACTCAACAACAACAACTGGCAGGTGAGAAAGAAAAGTGACTAAGTAACTAAGTAAGTAAGACTAGTAATTTGCCATGAAACATTAAAAATGTAAAAGCACAAATGTTGAGCCTGATAATTTTGACTAGACCCAAGAACTCACTGAATTACAACAATAATGTGCAAGATCTTCAGTGTATTTCCCCTGGTTATTTACGTTGTGTTTAATTGACAGGAATACATGATGAGTGACAACATTCTAGAGTATTGCTTTAACTTGCCATCAAACCCGTCCCGTTACGAGCTGCAGGTACGGAATCGCGTGAACAACAACTGTGGCTCTTCTAATCTGTGGAGTGAATGGAGTGAACCAGTTGCCTGGGGCGCCCACAATAAGACAGGTAAGAAGAGATAAAAATATATTCAGTTATCCTTTCTGCCATTAAGTTATCTTTTTTGGCTCTGTTTGTTTTATTAATAAACAAGTTCAAATCAGTTTAAACAAACAATGACTGATTATAATGTTGTGCAATGGGGGTGTTCCAGCTACTTTTTTGACCTGTTCTCCAAAGGCAAATTAAGTATTGTATTGACTGGCCAAGCTGAAGAGGACATCTGCTGGCCCCCCAACTTTTACTGATATTATTTAGCTCCATAATTCACTCAACACTACAGCCTTTAACAAACTTTGTCCATCTTTGTATAACAGAAAACATTAGCAGGTAGCTTATGGGTTTAATAGTAGGTGCTCAGACTACTCCTACACTTTGCCTTATCAAAACAATTGTTGCATATGTGTTTACTTTACTTTATATAAAACAGTCATTATATATTTCCCAACAGATGTGGACTGTATGGTGATTGGTATGAAATATGTGCAATGTTTATGGAATACTTTGGATGTCAATTACACTTTTTACAGTGGGTAAGTAACAACTTCTGTCTGAAATGAAAAAAAAAATCTTTATAATAGAAACTATCATCATTGATCTTTTGATCTGAGTTTTGCTATAGATTTGACGGTGAATCCTTTCGTGAATGTGATACCTACATAGTCAAGGATGGCCTGAATGTTGGATGCAATCAGCCCGAAGCCAACAGCAAACTTTGGACAAAAAGATTTGAAACATTTTTAACTAAACTTCAAAAAGGAAACCAGAATTATCTCCAGGAACATGAACTCAAAGACAGAGGTAACACATATGTTGTAAAGAGCACAACACTTCACTCACCTTGCTTGTCAAACTGTGACATGGTGGTCACATAGTCAGGTATGTGTGTAGTATCAGACACTACTCTTTCATCAGTCTGCCCCGCGACAGCTGCGACAAGAGATGTATGAAGTGAATGAATAACATGCAGTGTATAAGACTATTAATTACTCTCTCCACTGAATCAAATAATTTAACCAAACAGTTGAATTTAAGGGTTGTCAAAAAATATCAATACCCAGATAACATCATAATGATATATAAAGTAGTGATGCAGGAAAAAACACCTTTCACCTTTCATGAATAGTTTTAGAAATGTTTTTATGAGATTTAGCATAGTAAACATTTTATTGTTAAAAATTACATTCTATTGTATAAAAAAGACCATTATAAAGGAATTGACATGATCAATAGAATAAAAGAGCCTTCTCCTTAGTATCAATATCATTATCACTATCACTATCATATCAATACATTGACTTCTTTGTCATTTCCAGTAAAGTTGGATCCACCTTCCAACCTCACTGTGGAGTACAGGTCTGACTCCAGGTTGTGTTTCAAGTGGATGCAAATGAACGATTGTGTTGAGAGCCAGGTCCGCTACAGACTCAACAACAACAACTGGCAGGTGAGAAAGAAAAGTGACTAAGTAACTAAGTAAGTAAGACTAGTAATTTGCCATGAAACATTAAAAATGTAAAAGCACAAATGTTGAGCCTGATAATTTTGACTAGACCCAAGAACTCACTGAATTACAACAATAATGTGCAAGACTAATGACCATCACTGTATTTCCCCTGGTTATTTACGTTGTGTTTAATTGACAGGAATACATGATGAGTGACAACATTCCAGAGTATTGCTTTAACTTGCCATCAAACTCGTCCCGTTACGAGCTGCAGGTACGGAATCGCGTGAACATCAACTGTGGCTCTTCTAATCTGTGGAGCGAATGGAGTGAACCAGTCGCCTGGGGCGCCCACAACATGACATGTAAGAAGAGAGAAAAATATATTCAGTTATCCTTTCTGCCATTAAGTTATCTTTTTGGACCTGTTTGTTTTATTAAATAACAAGTTCAAATCTGTTAAAACAAACACTAACAGATTATGATGTTGTGCAATAGGGGTGTTCCAGCTAATTTTTTGACCTGTTCTTCCGAGGCAAATTAAGCATTGTACTGACTGGCCAAGCTGAAGAGGACATCTGATATTATTTAGCTCCATACTTCATTCAGAACTACAGGACTACTACCTTTATATAACAGAAAAGATTTGCAGATGGCTTATGTGTGTAACAGTAGGTGCCCATAAGCAATTGCTTCAGTCTACTCCTTTTGGACTATGCACACTTCTATCTAATGTATGCATGTAAAGTAAACAAAACAAGCTCAAATAAACTAAACTAAACTCATATATTTTTTGGAAATTTACCAACAGTTCACAAATGTGGACAACAGTGTTTCTCAGTTGCTTTAGCACTACATTTCTCAGATCAGTATTGAATTTTTCAAAGCTTTAAATGCTTTTCTCAAAACAATTTACGCAGGCATCAAAACCCATTCTATCCCAAAATCTGATCAGATTTTTAGTTAATTTCACAAAATGAAACCTTTCACAGAATGAAGCATTTGTCTCAGTGAACATATCAGCCCCTTAGACTGCACAGGCCTCTGTACAGCGTTTATGGAATCAAAATTTGTTTTCAGTGTGTTTTCAGATCATAGACCAGATATTGTGCCACCAATTGTGCAAGTTCTCCCACTTAAAAAGATGAGAGAGGCCTGTAATTTTTGTCATAGGTACACTTCGACTATGAGAGACAGAATGGGGGAAAAGATTGTAGGATTTTTAATTAGTTAAGTGGTAAATTCCTCGGTAAAATAAGTATTTGGTCACAACCGGTCAAGATTTCACAGACCTGTAACTTCTTCTTTAAGAGGCTCCTCTGTCCTCCACTTGTTCCTTGTATTAATGGCACCTGTTTGAACTAGTTCTCAGTATAAAAGACACCTGTCCACAACCTCAGACAGTCACACTTCAAACTCCACTCTGGCCAAAATCAAAGTGCTGTCAAAGGACACCAGAAACTAAATTGTAGAGCTGCACCAGGCTGGGAAGACTGAATCTGTAATAGATAAGCAGCTCGGTGTGAAGAAATCAACTGTGGGAGCAATTATTAGAAAATGGAAGACATACAAGACCACTGATAATCTCCCTCGATCTGGGGCTCCACGCAAAATTCCCCTCCCATTCCCCCAGCGACAGCCCCTAAACATCACTGCTCTAGAGGAGATCTGCATGGAGGAATGGGCCAAAATACAAGCAACAGTGTATGAAAACCTTGTGAAGACTTACAGAAAATGTTTGACCTCTGTCATTGCCAGCAAAGGGTATATAACCCTTTGTTGGGTTATATACAAAGGGTATATAACCCTTTGTTGGCAATGACAGAGGTCAAACGTACAAAGTACTGAGAACACCTTTTTTTATTGACCAAATACTTTGCATAATTTGCAAATAAATTCTTTAAAAAACAGACAATGTGATTTTTTCTCATTTTGTCTCTCATGTTGAAGTGTACCTATGATGAAAATTACAGGCCTCTCTCATTCTTTTAAGTGGGAGAACTTGCATAATTGGTGGCTGACTAAATTTTTTTTGCCCCACTGTATGTATCGACAGGATCTGTAAATGTTTCAAATATAATTGATGGACACCATTTTACACTTTTCAATGTAAATCACTCATCAGTAATGCATTCTCTGTTGAATTCCATACAGTTTTCTCTCAATCAAACAGTTAGGAGCAGTGGATAAGGACAGCATCCTTTCACACACACTAGTCTGTGTACCTTGCTCTGGGATAAGATGCGCATTTGTATGCATCAATCTGGATATTATGGTTTATTCACTTATGTATATTTGTGGCTATGGTGATAAAAAATGAGGTTATACATAAAGTTTTGAATGTTTTGTCCAAATAGATGAGTGTCTCTATAATGCATTTTAAACAGTCTGACAAAAATCAAATTATCTAAGAAACAGCAGACAATTGCACAAAATCATTTGAAATAATGGAAAACTATTTGGAAAAACGGAAAACAGCCAAATAATCTGCAAAAGTAACTGAAGAGTTTTAATGTTCAATAAGTGTTGACATTTTCAGTTGTCAGCTGCTTGCTACCACATTCCTAACACATACAGTCAAAGGTGCTCTGTGCGATTTTTTTCTTTTCTTTTGGTGAGTTTGCCAACTGCTTGTCTCCAGCAGAAAAGTTACATAGTGTAATCCTAAAGATGATACAATTATACCATAATGACTCTTGTTCTCATCAGACTCAACTCAGCTGCATGACTCTGTGAATGTGTGGACTGTGGTCATGTACTTTGTGGGAGGGGCCATTCTGCTCTTGCTGATTGTTATGTTGTTGCATCATGAGAGGTAAGTCTTCCCATTGACTTTTTGATGTAAATACACAATCTGCTTTGTTATTTTCCAGTGTTTGACCTGTACACATAGTCTCACTAGATGGCAGCAGAGTTTAGAAGATCTGAGCTTGAACAACTACGTTCACTTTACTAAAATTTTTATTGAATAATTGTATTATATTATAATGTTATTGAATAAATTATTAGCTTATAGCTTCTTAAAGTGAAGTTGCTAAGATACTGTGGCCCTTATATAATTACACTATAATAGACTACCTGAAGATCGAAATCTTTTCATACCATTTAAATTTCAATAACCTGAACTGAAAAAGGTTGAACAAAAATTTACTAAAACGTTTTTGACTGTACATCATTTTGATTTTTATTTCTATGACATTGTCCAGAATCCGGATCATCCTTATTCCGGTTGTTCCTAAACCGTCTCATGACTTGGAGGTAAGTAAAAACATTTAAAACAATGGACAGCTACAATGTCCTACACCTAGATCACAAACACTAACTACCGTGTGTTGATTTTGCAGGAGTGGTTAGACAACTCCAAAGGCCTAAAGGAGGTTTTTAAGACTAGCTACACAGAGCACACCTGTTCAGTCCAAGAGTACTGCCCTGTGCCTCTCTCTGACAGCGAGAGCTCAGACTCCTCCATCATTTCTGTCAGCACAGATCAAACCGACTGCTATAACAACATCCCGAATCCAGACCTTAGCCATCCGGGACCCTCCTCCTCCAGCGCTGAGTTTGATCCACCTGAAGAGCAGCACGTCTCTGTTTAGCAAAGAGGTGAAATTTACATGTCAGTTATTAGGATGCAGACATTGTGCATCTAAATCAATGCCCAAAATTCAAATGAATTTTGTCTAGATGTACATATAAACTGTGTGTGTATTTCATTTATGTGATAGTAAGTAAGGGCATTGCAGCACCTGATACCACTGTAGTGATATCTATGAAAGGCCCATTTCTTACCCTGCCCAAAACAGCAAGTAATTACTTTTTCAGGTTTTTAGAAATATGCTTTGATCAATATTTTTCACATTGTACCATTACAAGTAGGCCTGAGCAAGCCTAAGTTTGTGTGTAAGTATCCTACAGCACACACCTACTGCACACATTGTTGAACAAGTCTAGTTGGTATAAGTAGTTTGTGTTGCATTTTTGTATGAAAAGCGCTATATAAATAAAGTTTGTTGATGTTGTTTGTTGTCTGTGTTATTTTTCTTGTACAATCAAAGTATTCTACTTTGAATAAAACGATGTTCTAAGTAAGTAGATAATAAAAACAAATGTGAAGTTAAAAAAAAAAAAAAACAGTGCCCAAAATTTGGTGCTACACCCCTGTTTACAAGAAGCCTGTTTCTATGATTTGCATGAGGAAAAGTATATTGACTGGCCAGGCAAAACTGACTAAACAAAAATACCGGTATGTATTTTCCTTGTGTCATAAATAGCTAGGCTACCTGTAGAGCTTATAGATGAGGTAAGGCAAGTATTTATTAGAAGATTTTTGGATGTTATGGTCATGAGCTTTGGGTAATGACCGAAAGGACAAGATCACGGATACAAGCGGTCGAAATGAGTTTCCTCCGCAGGGTGGCTGGGCGCTCCCTTAGAGAGTGAGGAGCTCAGTCACACGGGAGGAGCTCGGAGTAGAGCCTCTGCTCCTCCACACTGAGAGGAGCCAGCTGAGGTGGCTCGGGCATCTGTTTCGGATTCCTCCTGGACGCCTCCCTCGGGAGGTGTTACGGGCATGTCCCACAGGGAGGAGGCCCCGGGGAAGACCCAGGACACGCTGGATGGACTATGTCTCTCGGCTGGCCTGGGAACGTCTCGGGATCCCCCTGGATGAGCTGGAGAACATGTGTGTGGAGAGGGAAGTCTGGGAGGCCCTCCTCAGACTGTTGCCCCCGCGACCCGACCCCGGATAAGCGGAAGAAAATGGATGGATGGATTTTTTGATGTCTATTTTTGTTATAAAGAGCACCTCATACCTTACCTGCACCTCAAACCATTGAGATCCAGAGAGCATCCCAGATCCTGTCATCTGAAAAAGACAGGATAGCCATTAAAACTTAATATTTTGAATAAAATATCTAGACTTTTTTCAGACAGCATCACCTTCTGAGGTATTTATCCCACATTGCACTGAACCATTAAAACATGAAGGGTCGTTTCTAGGATCCTAGGGCTAAAGTGGCTAATTATGCCTGTTCTTTGTCAAATTATATTAACCACCATGGTCTAATCAGTCAGCCGCATGATAGATTTGGTTCCCGTCCATATTGGCCGGAATTGTGAGCAGCATGTGTCCGTCCCTGTCCGCTGGATGGCGCTATGTGAGTCCAGCTCACTAGTGCAGAGAAGGGTAGGGCGCTCGGCGGTGGCCCCTGCGAGAAGAGCTACACTACTCAGCCACTTCCTTAGCTAGCCCGCTGTGGTTTCACAATCCATTAATGTCTTCCGATGAAAGTTAAGATACTGCCGCGCATTTAGTTGCTTTTGCGCTGATTATCTGCAGCTTGTCTCCTAACATTAACCAAAATGTCGCAGCCTGCGGTGGCCGACACTCGCCGGTTGAACTCCAAGCCCCAGGACCTCACGGATGCCTACGGCCCCCCCAGCAATTTTTTGGAAATAGATGTGTATGATCCACAAACCCTAGGAGTGGGACGAACTCGATACACTGTATACAAAGTCCGCATGCGGGTAGGTGCATGAACTTAAGTTAAAGCGCGTTGTTTGGTTAGATTTTATAAGATAACACAAATGACAGTGTTGTTAGCATTGTAATTAGCATTAGCATAGTTAGCTTTTGCACCAGAGCTAGGGTAACGGCGGCGAGCGAGCGTGAGGCAAACCGCCCGAACAAGTGTAACATGGCCATCAGCAAAAATCTAGAGACGAGGATGAACTGAGGCCTAGTTTATACTGTTTTTTTAACGATGGAATTTTACTTCAATGTTTTAAAACATTGAAACCACAGGCATGCAGTGCACACAAGCTGTTACTGGCCCGCACTCAGTTAAGGCTGGCCAACAAATCAAAGTACTCAATGCCATATCAGATTCATGCAGCAATTATATTTACAAGCTATGCCTTTAAAAGCCTGTTAGTATGTTATAGTTCATAATACCATGATGTTCAAACTGATCATGAGTAAGTTTCCTTCTTGACACTCTTTCAACACTGGCACTAAACAATGACATTAAAATCGCAACATGATATAATATTTTGAAGTTTGATATGATCTGTTAAAGTCCGTCACATTTTTATTTGAATTTAAGCATTTTGGACCTATCAAATGTACCCAGAAATGCGTTTTAAATGAGTGAAATTATTGCTGACACATCTACATCTTGAAAATGAACTCATCAGAAAGCTTATTGCCTCATTCCTGGTTACTTGACTTCCTTTCCCATAGTTCCTCATTTATGTTTTCACTGTCTAGTAGTCACTTTCATAATCTGTTAATTCGGCAGAATTTTAGAAAACCCTTAAGAGTAGTGCCTGGCTACATTTGTGGATGTTTTATATTAGAAGAGATGCATAGCCTTCCACTACGATTCATGTCCATGGGTTTAGGGATGACTTTCTAGTTCAATATTTATTTGCCTCAAAAAAGAAAAACATTTTCAAAATAGTTTTCAGTAATAAATTCTTTAACTTTAAAAAAAAATAAATAATACTTTATTTGTACAAGTCAACTTCTTGAGGCTTAATGTCTAATTTTTAAGATAATGTCTACTTGTTCATTTACAATTCAGTCTGACCTGATCAAAACCACATGCCTTTATAGACAAGATTGGCTCTAGACCTACTTGTATATTAAACTGGCCTTTTGAAATCACTATTTTCATTAAAATGCATTAATTGCACAACCCTTTCTAGGCCTGTACATTTAAAAAAAATAAAATGTCTAAAATATACATTGCATGCTTCCTTTGAAGTTTCTGGATGTAATGCAAAATGAATGCATTGTCCAAACTAATTTTGCTTGGGCAGTCTATTCTTGACAATAAACCATGTTCATTGAAGGCCATTCCAGTTTACACAAATATTGTTAAAGATTAACAGTTATTATTGTCTTTTGTAGACAAATCTTCCCATTTTTAAACTGAAGGATTCCTGTGTGACAAGAAGATACAGTGACTTCGAGTGGTTAAAAACTGAGCTGGAAAGAGACAGTAAGGTAAGGGGGGAAAAGTGTCTGTTTTGCATTACTTCTATGATTACACTGTCCAGCTAAAAAGGTGAACGATCCACTGAAAGAACGTTTAGGTCTCAATTTGGGAAGTAAGGGAACCTCTGGTTCCCCTTTACATGATGCACTGAAAGAGTGGGAGTTCTTCTAATGTACAACAGAAGCTAATAATTTGCATATATTTGAAACATATAAACACATTTAACCAGATCTTCCGTTCCTTGTTTTCTGTCAATGAGTTTTTGTCTTTTGTCTTATCTATTGAAAGAATTACTACTTGAGCAAATATTATTGATCACATTGAGGTTTGAGGCATGTTGGAAGTGAAAGGATGTGAAAAGCTTTTGTTGTGATAAAAGACATGCAAGCATCTCAGAAATTAAGTTTAAAATGGGCATGTTGTAATATACTTAATATATAATATGTAATATACTCATTTCACACTGTTCGCTGACTGTTCATACAAAAAGATACCATTGGACTTTTTTTTACACTGTTTGTTATACTGCTCTTTGTGTGGCATCTGCTGCAGATTGTAGTGCCACCTCTGCCCGGGAAAGCTCTGAAAAGACAGCTGCCATTTCGTGGAGATGAGGGCATTTTTGAGGACTCTTTCATTGAGGAGCGGCGAGTGGGTTTGGAGCAGTTCATAAACAGGTCAGCCACTTTTAAGCCACCTTAGTTATTTCTCACATTTATCTTTTAGCATGATGTTTTCATTAGAGCAATGTTTGAGTTAGGCCAAAAAGTATGTATTTTATACATCCGGGAGTATTCATTCTTAATTAAAATACTAGCTGCAGGGTACAAAATGGAGCACAAAGTGAAATGCCTTTAGAAAATGATCTAACAGTGTTCAGGTACAAATAGTTCTCTGCAAAGAACAAGAATATCATATTTTATAATTGCAGCCTTTCATGTTTACTAAATCTAGTTTTGATTTTAATATTCCAGTCCATTCCATCCATGTAGGATAGTCAAGACTTGCAGGTCTGAAGTGATCCTTTATTTTCTTTGTTTGTTGGGAAAAGGTCAGTTTTGCTGACAAAAAAAATTAACATGTTGGGGCAAGTGTGTCACATTTAGGTTCTTTGTGGCCTTTTGAATGACCTATGACCTTCATCCAATAAAACCTTGTTAGTCAACTGTACTAACTAACTGACACAAAAACGTATCGCACAAATGTATGCTCATCTTTTTTGCATTTTCTTAAAGGGTGACTTGAGTCATAATTGTCTTCATTAGGTCACGGATTCTTTTTAGGATGGTTTTGTTTATTTTTTATTTGGGTTATAAATTTAAACCTGAACATTATTTGGCTGAATCAAAAAAATTGCTTTTCTTAAAGCAAACAGTCATAATCTTTAGTGAACTAATGGACTCTAATTCTGTCCACGGTGTAGTCCTACAGAATCTACCTTTATGTGTAACCTTACTGTAAAATACAACTGGAAAAGTTCATTAAAAGTAATAAACTCAACATTTAATGTGAAACATTCATACCCTAACCCTCCATCCCTAAAAAATCTTATGTCTCATGCTATAGAAATTCACTTCCACAACCAAAGATGTGCTTTCCCTGTTGACTCCTTTTCTTTGCTCTGGGTTTGTGTGTGTTTGTGTAGAATTGCTGGACACCCTTTGGCCCAGAACGAGCGCTGTCTGCACATGTTTCTTCAGGAGGCGACCATCGACCGAAACTACATTCCCGGAAAAGTACGACACTAGACTTACTACAACCTTCACAGTACCTCTACTACTACCACTACTATTACTACTTCTACTATTACTTCTACTATTACTTCTACTACTACTATTACTACTACTACTTCTACTCATTTCTCTTCTTTCTCTTCTTAAATCTTTACTTTCAAACTGTGTATACTATTGTAAAGTTACTTGGGATTATTATAGTAAGTTTTTCTACTATAGAGCAAGTCTGTAAGTTGACTTCTTTCTAACTTGTGAACTTTTTTTTTTATTGTTCAGTACAAATTCCTCAGTACGTGTTGTATTGTGGGAAAGAAATTGGCTTTTACTCTCAGAATCATTGTATGATACATTCCTTTACTTCAATGTTATGATTGTAAAATATTGTGAATAAAGTAGAATGATGTCTACATTTTGGTGTGGGCACTAGTATATATTACTGTAATGGGCTGCATGCTAAATCTGTAAACACAAGTCTTATCCTGTTTTGTTTCTCTTTGTTTTTTAGGTATGAGTGAAGTAAGTTTATTGAATTTTTTTTTTACACACTCATGTTTCAGAGAGCTTTATATAATAGGTGGTTGCATAAAAGGCATTATTATTACTAAAATTTGTATTTATATTAACTACGCATCTAAATTTTTGCCAAAAATGTAAGTAGGAAAGTTGATACCATTTCAAAATAAAGTTGAATCACAAGTTTATAAATATAAACTGGCTTTCAGATAATATGAACATAACTCATCAATGTCTTAAAGGTACATTATGTAGCTTTCAGATGCTCCTTGCTTGCCTTCCTGGAGATGTTATTGCTTTATCTGGAATGTCGCCGTTTCTACAGTATGCCATTAAACTTGACTGACCTGCCTGTATCCATGGAGATGGATAATGTTAGAAATTTATATTAAGCTAACAGATAGATCAGCCATATTGTGATGCCATACTGTATTGTGGAACACTCCAGGCAACTCAATTGCCCGTTAACATGGAGATGATGAGTTGGCAGACCATCCACTGTAAAAGTTACATGTTGCACTTTAAGGATAACTAAAATTATTAAGTTGAACAAATCTGGCTTACTTATTAAAAAGAAATGTTTAATAGATATATAGACCTTTATCATTATAGGAAAACCTTACAAATTGTGTCTATTTTTATATATATTTTTTTATTATGAGGCCCAAAGTACAACCACCAGATATGCCTAGAGCTCTTTGAAACATTGAACTAATTCTTATCCATTACACTAATCATCAAATGCATGGCACACTTGCACGCTTCAGAAACTGCGCATAGTGATTCCTGTTGTATTACAGCATAAATATTTTTTTTTTATAATGCACCCTTTAATTTTCATTTGTACAGTTTTGTTCAGTTAGTAGTCAAAATATTTACGCAGTCTTCATTTTTATTGGTTGTGATGAGGATGTTTAGTGCATTATACTATTTAGGTTTCTCATAGTTACACTTGCATTAAGGAGAGATATTGGATATACAAGTAGAGGAGAGCGATATAAATGAGGTTTTACTTTACTGGTATTATAATATATTTAGTGATATAGTGTTTTTGCAACGTTTTAGTTTTGGAAAGACACAATCCAGGGGGAGCATGAAACAAGGTCAGAAGCTGGACACTTGATAATTGGATACATTACATGACTTCAAATGCATAAATGTTCTTTATTATGTGTATCATTTCTTTACACAAGAAAATCAATTTGAAGACAATTATTTCCATTAAAGGGGACAATGGCCTCTGTTCTATTTTAGCATTAAGATTGAATGTTGACCTAGATGCAACACAAAAATGGGTTAATTTAGGCATACTGTACAAATTAGACACCGTTTGGAGCTATAGTAAAAACCTGAACATTCCTTAGCATGCGTTGGTCACATGCTTAAAGTAGCATAGTCAATTTGTGATGCCAATTTACTGATGTCACTGAGAAATACAAGTACAATACAGGTGAACTGCATACTCATAGGTGAGAAGGTTGCAAGACTACAGTCCTACTTGTTTGCATGGCCTTTATCGATTAATTTAAGAAGAATGTTGTTGCCTTGATACAACGGTTTGCCTAAATTGTGAGGTTTTCCAAAAGAAGAAAATTGGATTTAAAAAGGAAAATGAAAGCCAAAGATGTAGGCCTACTCCAAAGAGAATCTTGTCTCCTAATCAAATAATGAATAAATGACATTGCACATCACTCCTTTATCACTAACCTCAATGCTTAGGTATAACATTGACTCCATAATGAATGTCTCGCTTCCAATAAAACTGCATGATCCCACCTCTAGCTGTTTACACACGTGTTATGTTAAATGGCACTATTCTGATTCACTATCTCCCTTTTGTCTCCCAGAGGTGAAGCAGACGGCTGGGCCTGCGCTTTGTACATTATATTTCTACATCTCTCCATTTTAAACTTGTGGAGAAAAAAAACAGTATATCAACAGAGAAAAGATTAGACAAATGCAATGTGTACATGTGTTTTTTCAACCATTCCACATTTTGATTTAATCTGAGAATCCGTATCTCAAAACGCGTATTTTAGATATGATTTCTTATTATTGTCTTTTTATTTGATTATATATCCCAACAGAATAATGGAAGGCAGCCACATGTAGCGTTCCACAGTTACTGATATATTATGTTTCAATCCAAGATTCATATACAATTGGCTGCAAATGATCAGATTTCATGATTTTCTTTTGTCAATTTTGGACCATAAATGCTCATATTTAAACACTGTGACAAAACGTACTTCAAATTAAATCAGCATTCCTTTTGCTTTTGATCAGACCACTCTTACTCCATGTCCTATTGTCTTTTTCTTGTTAAAACCAATTGTGAACTTTATCTATGAATTTTCAGCATTGAGAAACAGCATTGTTTTTCTGTCTATACTGATTAAATTCCTGCTGCCTGCTGCCTCCTGTCTGGATTTGTGAGTCGACACTGAAAGAAGACCAATCTCTCATTCAGTTAACATTCAAGACGACTAGGGTAGGCAATATCATTTTTATTTTGATAGCCAGACATATTGGTACAACATTAGAGCAATCCTTTACGAGCCGGTAAATGTCTGGTTCAGGTTCAAATATTGCACAAAAAGTAAATGAACAGTCAAATAAAATCTCTATAAATAGGTGACTGGTTTGCCAAGAAGGCCACAGCCTAAAATTAAACCTTTCACCATATGTACAAGAACATAAACAGGTAACACCAACAGGCCAAGCAGCAGGTCAGATTTATGCAGGATGACAGTCAAACTGCAAATTCCACCACAGCTCAATTTTACACTGCAAAAACTAAAATCTGACCAACTGAAGATGACTTGAATTAACAAAGTTTAGTCATGATTTGAGTAGATTTCACTTGATAAGTAAAATTATCTGCCAATGGAACTTTTTGACTTAAATATGTACTTAAAATATGAAAATACAGCTTGCTACACTTAAAAAAAAAAAACAAGACTTTGCACATAAGAAACAAAATCTAATGTTGCTTGAATTAAGAAAAACACTTATTCCATTGGTAGAACATTTTACTTTTTAAGTTGAATCTTCTCTAATAAAATGTTCTTATTAGAGTCATTTTAACTTATCTGGATATTGCTTTTTGCACTGTAAATTAACAAATATGCATTGGTTTGGATGTAATGAAAAACATTACAGTACATTAATGTAAAGATAGTCATACATATAGCGATGGCAAGTTGGTGAATAATTGGTTAATAATAGGTGTCTGGTGTATAAAAAAGGTAGTTAACACTGGGTCTTGTTTTCAAATGCTAAATCCTTAATCTTTTGTAGTTGCTCTGGAAATGTGGGTTTACTATAGTTAAGCAGATAAACTCACACTAATGAAACATTTATGTGTACACGTAAGATGAAAGTTATATAGTATATTATGTAAAATGTTATCTTCAGAAATGTTCTTTTGTTTATACATGTATAACTCTATCAAAACAAAATTGATTCTAGTGATTTGGAGCTAAGTTATAATCCTTTAAGTTGCACTGCAGACTTTTTCTCATGGAGGAGCTGCCACCTGCTTGTCTCCATGGAGATAATGTTGGTTTGTGAATATTCCTCACTATTTTTTTCTGAACTTCGCTATCTTCATCTGAGCAATAAAACACATATTTGATTAATAAATGCCATAGGTTTAATTCCAGTGTAACACATTCCAAACAATAACACCATGTGGGATAAACAGGTATAGCAGCTCCCCTTCCAAGATACATAGAGCATTGTTTCCCAAAGCCTGGGTCGTGACCCTCAGGTGGGTCGCAAGACTTTTTTTTTTGGGGTCGCCTTGTCACAATCTGCATGTAGGTCTGCAATATACATATACATACATCTCTGAGCACTTTTTACCTGACCAATTTTCTGTGGGAAACATTGATTACTGTTTTTCATTGTTCAAACTTGAGTAATACTAATTGCTCAGAGAGACATGATCACTCACTCAACAATAAAACATCCTCATTAATGTTCAATAATGCTCAAATCCATCTTTATTTTGTGTTTTACAAATAATGTCTATTGACTTGGGTCACGAAGATTTATGACTTTTAAAATATGGGTCCCCAGAAAAAAAGTTTGGAAAACACTGACATAGAGCATGTGTTACATAGAATACATCTATATTTACTGAGAATTTTGGCCTATACAGTGCAGTTACCATTTAAGGTCCTATATAAGCTTAAAATGCTCCGTTCCACCTTGTGATGTCGATGGTAGTTTTCAAGTGAACATCTACGTTTTACCTTCATTTCAGTAGAGATAGGCAGTTCAAGGGATGAAATTATTCTAATGTATTCCAACATGCCTTTAAAGTTTCAAAATATGCTCGGACTATGAGAAAATCTTGTCCCACTTTGACCCAGTCTGAGCACTGACCTACAAAAGCAGCACTTTGAAGTTGATTTTGAGTCCGAGGTAATGAAAGAGGACAGACGGGGAGATTAGCTGCTGTTGTGTTAGCACTTTGGCCATGGGAGTCCCCTCTGCAGCCTGTTGTGTTAGAGCAGACAGCGGTGCACTGCGCTTGATAAAGTGGAAGTAAATGGACACAGCAGAATGACCAGACAAGGACAAAAGGTGAGGCTGATGAGAGCGAGATGAGACCAGGGAGCAGCACATGGGAACAAGAATCACAGATACATTTATGTGTGACTTATAAGCCCTCTGACTTGAATAACAATCAAGGTGCCTGCATGGCCATGTTTATTGAGGTGGATATTCAATTACATTTACTATAACTTTTTCACAAGATTGTATTTTCTAGTGCAGTGTTTCTCAAACTGTAGTACGCGTATCGATGGTGGTACATGAGCTGCTTCAGGTGGTACTTGGACCGCTCTTCAAGCTGTGGGTTTGCCTAATTTAGGGTTAATTTTATTAATTTATTTGGCAGATTTTGGATAATTTGTTGTCCAAAATGTTAATAAACCTCAAACCTGAATATTTAAGAAAATAAAAGTGAAGTAGTGGCTTTCTTAGGAGAAAATTGATGTGTCCACAATTATTTGACAGTTATTAATGTGTAGAATTATACAACTAAAAGAAAAATTTACATTTTCCATTCTCACTTGTTTATTTTCATCTGCCCGAATAGTAAACAACTCAAAATTTACGAATAAACATCTCTGACATAAAAAAAAAAAAATCTATGACCAATATAGCTGCCCTTCTTCTCAATAATGGTCATAAGCCTTTCATTCATGGAGTCTGTCCGCTTATTGATCTGTTGACTTTTTGTGCAGCATCAACCACAGCCAGACACTATTTCCCTTCACTGTAAATCTCCCATTTAAGAAGGGCTCACAAGTTCTCAATAGGGTTTAGATCAGGTGAGGAAGAGGGCCATGCCATTATTTTTTCATCTTAAAGACCTTTACTGGGTAGTCACACAGTGGAGTACTCCTGATGCATGAGATGGAGCACTGGAGCATTGCTGAAAAATCATAGTCTTCTTCAAAGATGCAGACTTTTCCCTGTACCACAGCTTGGAGAAAGTGCCTTCTAAAAACTGACAGTAGGTTTTGGAGTTCGTTTTGAGTCCATCTTCAACCTAAAAAAGTCCAACAAGGTCATCTTTAATAATACCATCCCATACCAGTACCCCACCTCCACCTTGGTGGAGTCTGAGCCGAAGTAGAGCTCTGGTTCATCAAGAATCACTCTCATCTCACCAGTCCATAAAACCTTTGAAAAATCTGTCTTCAGATATTTCGTGGCCCAGTCTTGATATTTTAGCTTATGTTTCTTGTTCAGTGTTGGTGAGGTTTCAGCCTTCTTTACCTTGGCCATGTCTCTGAGCACTGAACACCACTGAGCAAGCCAGTGTGGGTCCTTGGGCAAGACCCACCACACTACTGCCTACCTCATATAATGATGAGAGACAATGAAATTTATGAGATGCTGGCTCAGACGTCGCCTGGCCAAACAAGGTCTGGGTCAGGTGCTGGGGAACCGGAGCACCTTGATGAATAATAAGGGTTCTGTTCAGTTCTCACATCTCTCCCATTTCCACCATGTTCCAGTAGCCCATTTTTCATCAAGGTGCACTGGTTCTCCAGCACCTGGCACAGACCTTGTTTGGCCGGGCGACGTCTGAGCCAGCATTTCGTAAGTTTCATTGTATACATTTTTTTTTCTCATTTTATATGGAACATATTTTATTTTTATTTTATTTTATTCAATGTTGTGAAATAATACCCTAATATCTTTCACTTCAAATGATTTAATAATCATAAATCATTAGAAAATCTTCCAAATAACCAAGCTAATTACATGTCATCAATTTATAAAGAAAAAATATCAATCTGAATCATTTATTAACTAGCGTTATGTCTTGTCATCTTTGTGTGCATATTTTTTCTCTGTTTTCTTGTATGTATGTTTATAATAATTTGTTTATAATAATAATTTGTATGTATATATGCAATACATTTAATGAAAACTAAATAAATAAAATAAAATATTTGTGTCCTTTGAACTCAACATGCTGCACTTTTTAGTTGGTTAAAATAACAGGATATGATGTTGAAAACTGAGGTTAAAAAAAAAAAAGTTTTGGAAACTGCTCAGTCAGGTAGCCATAAAGCCCACCAACCGGTCCGTTGCCATGGGACCAAAACAAATCTACAGTAAGACTAAAACTGGGTGTGAACGCACTCTTAGTTGAGCAAGTGTTTGGGTGAATACAGTATAAACTGATTTACCATAATATATACAAGTTTACCTGACTTGTATTGGCCTGGACTTCTTCAAATATTCCAGATATTTTTTTATACAATATCAAATAAGGTAAGGTATTATCCTTGGTTGAAGGAAAGGTGTACACCATGGTTCAAAAACATATTGGATTAGTGGACAACCATATCACTGGATGGCGGATCTTAAGTCAACAGGACCATAATATGATGACAAGGGCACATGGAAAACAATGTCACAGGTTGTTCTCGGAAAACAACTTTTTCATAACCTTCACTTCCTTTACGTCTCTGTTCTCCAGAAAGACATTTTGTAATGATGATTTCAATGCTGAGGCAACCTGTCTGGCAGTGGGCAGTGGGCAGTGGGCAGTGGGCGCTGCAATGCCGCACCAGGGAACTCATCTCCAGATTCTCTCTTTTTTTTTTTTTTTTTTTTTTTAACCTGTAGGGATGTAAACAGGCAAACCCATTTCACCCCACCGGTCACAACTGTGGCGAGCTACTTACTGTCTATATTTTCAATACATTTTATGTTATGTTTATTTCCACATTCAAGGAAATTCCTGATATGCTGCATGAAGCTGACGGCCCCGTCAAGGCCTGGAACTAAGTAATTGGTCCTAAATATGGATTCCTCATTGTGATTGATTGGCCTGATATGGACTCTAGGGAGGAGGAGATGTTCACCACTAACCCCACCCCTTCTCATTTACCCTCAGTTATTGTAAAATGATAGTCACCTATCTGTTATTCACCTTATTATGTTTAAATCCTCCTAGAGAATTGGTGCAGTGTTGACTTGTTGGTGCACATGAAAATTAAATATTAAAATGAACCGACTTCATGTCATATTTAAAATGCAAAAATTTCCCAAATTCTCCATTGACATTAATGGGATTCCTGTTTAACGAAAAGTGCTATCACAAAAAATTGTGGTTTAGGAGCATTTATAGACAAAAGTGGGTGGGACGGAAAAAGGTGGATAGGGACATATTTGAAGAACATCCAAGGTCATGTAGCTGCATGAGAGACAAGTCTGAGGAACACCCAAAGTTTTCCAGAACCTATAGAAAGAAATCTAATAAACATCTAGGGTGCTTTGGGATAAGTCTGAAAGTCCTCTAGCTGCATGATGGACAAGTCTGAAAAACATTCAATTTCCTTTAGAGGCTATAGTAACAAATCTGAGAATTGCTAAATAGAAATCTGAAGAACTTCCAAGGTTCTCTATCTGCACAATGGACATGGCTGAAGAACATCCAACGTCCTCTACATGCTATTGGGACAAGTCTGAGGAACATCAAATGAAGTCCCCTAAAACCTAGAGAGAAATCTGAAGAGCATCCAATGTGTTCTAGCTGCTAAAGACAAGTCTGAGGAACACCCAGTGTCCTCTAGCAGCTACACAAACAAGTCTGTAGAAAATCCAAAGATGTCTAGAAGCAATAGAGGGAAATCTGAAGAACATCTGGGTTCCTTCAGCTACCACTGGGACAAGTCAGAGGAACATCAAAGATCCTTTACCTGCTCTTAAGACAAGTCTGAAGAACACCCAAAGTGCTCTAGCTGCTATCAAAAGAACTCTGAAGAATCCAAGCTCCTCTACCTGTTATTGGGACAAGTCTGAAAAACACTAATATCTCTAGAAGCAATAGAGAGAAATCTGAAAAATATCTATAGGACAAGTATAAGTAACATCCAAGGTCTTCAAGCTGCTATAGAAACAAATCTGAGGAACATTAAAAAATCTCTGGAAGCAATATGGGACAAGTCTGAGGAACAGCAAAGTCCATATGACCCACAAGGACAACTCCGAAGAACATCTGGGGTCTTTTAGCAACTTTTGGACAAGTCTGAAGTACATTCAAGGTTCTCTCAGAAATGATTATACTCTGTCCCACATATATAAGTGAGAACAGCATCTTTTTTTTTATTTTGTGGAACAATGGCACTATATCTGTCATACTTAAAACAATACTTTTTAAATGTTAAAATGTTCTTAAAAAATAAATGTCTACTATCACAATCATTAAAGTCAAAATTTTTACAGTATTTTTATATTAAATTGATCAAAAATTTCTTATCGTACCATTAATTCACAATACAAAGTATCAGCCCACTGGTCACAATTGTGACCAAGCATAAAACTCACTTATTCATCCACTTTTTTGAAAATTTTCATAAAAATGATTCTGATCATGCCAGAGTACTACAAATGGCACATGAATTTCATAATGGGATCTTCGGGGAAAATTTGGGCATAAATGCTAATAGTAAAGGTTACTCAAAAATGTGTGAATGAAACAAAACACAACTCCAGTATGTTTTTGCCATATTATAACATGGCTTAAAGCTCACGAAAGTCAAGTTTGTGTAATATAGGACTTTAAATGACTTTGTGGCATTGGACATTTTCAAAGGACAATCTTGGCAATCCCTAAAGGCAAACAAGTGCTCACTGGTTGAAAATCAATGAGTGATGTAGATCTCCAGAAAAATTGCATCATCAAATGCAAATTACTAGATAGGCTATTTGATTTGATGATGCAACTCAAATACGGGCACAATACGCTTTTTGTAATTTATGTTTTGTTTGTTTGTTTTTTGTTTGTTTGTTTTTTGCAACTCATAAAACAGGTCAATTGAGTGCGACCAAAAACCTAAACGATAAAGCATACACACATGAAAGCAGTATTTCGGATTTCCCTCCTTTTTCTTTCATCTGAAATACAAAAGCGACTCAGACCGGTACAGTCTGGAGCCGTGCCTTTTCATAGCATCAAGGGGCGAGGCTTGGGCTGAGCTCCTTCCATATACGGCGTTCCTACTACGGCGGAACATTCTCACTGTAGCGCCATACAAACACGCTTGGCTTTTTACGCACTGAAAATTGCCTAACTGGTCAATTTTTATATCAGACAAAACAAATATAACTTGAACTATTATATTTTGGATGTACGTTGGTATATGTTGAAGAGTATATGAAAATCTTCCGAAAGTCCGTTCATTCATGAGCGGAAGACCCGCCTTCCGGCCCGCGTGCGTCACGTTGCTTTGTTTACACGCCCCTCCCGCTGAATTATAAGCACACAACACGCACGGTAGAGCGGGATATTTCATCAGAACATCGCATCCTTCATCTTCGTCCTTTTCTGCTATTTCTGCCCTTGAAACTAGAATAAACACGACGACACTCAAAGGTAAGACAACTCACACCTGATCTACAATATTTTAAAATGGAGTCTCATTGTTATGTTAGGGGATGTAAGGTTAAGCGTAAAACTACTCGCCGAGTGAAAGTAAACTGACGCAATATCCCCTCGTGTCTTATCGTAATATTAGCGGACTCAGTTTAAAACAGGCAACGACACCGCTGTACATAACTTACATGCCATTCTAATCGATTTGTAATTTGTGAAAGCTTTTAAACACATAAGGTTTTAGGGAGAGTAACAACGTTGAGTTTGTTATTTGAGCGGGTAACCAGCTGATGCCGCCTAATATTGTACATGGAAAAAGCGTACAGCAAGTTTTAATTGTCATGACCATTTGTTATTTCATTTTAAATATATTTTTTCCAGTAAAACGGTGGCTTTCCGTTGCGTATCCATTCATTATTGATAGTATACCGGCGGCGTTAGCTTGAGATACTAGCAGGAAATCTCGTCGGAAACGTTTCTTAGGCGTGGGGCTTCCCTGATGCTACGTTCAATGACGCGAGAAAACACAATGTTGACACGATTTCTATAATGATGCAATCTTGACAAAGTAAGCCCGCCGATTTGGCATGGTATTATCCGTGTATTACGTGTAACAACACTGCTCCGCATCGCTCCATGTGGGCTGTACTAATGCAGCAGGCAACAGCAACACGCGAGCATGCTAGTAAGTACCACAACAGTTAAGGTGTGCGCTCCAACCATGGATCTATGGCTCCAACTCCCAATCTGATGCAACATTGACTCACGAAGGTAGTCATTTGGTGCATCTGCATGTGGTATGGCTGTATAGTAGGCGTATTATTACTAAATACACTAGTCAATAGACTATACATGCAATATTGCCGAAGACTACAAAGGCATCATTACGCGAGATCAGGCCAGCCACGTCGCGCGTACGAGCCTCTGTGCCAGCGGGCGGTAGGACACGGGTCTGATGATGGACACTTGAGCATCATCCAACAAGATTGACACCCAGCGTAAGTAAGGTTATTTTGAGCGCACTGTAGGTTTACTGTAGTTAATTGGCAACACGCCGGCTAAATGCCATGCCATCGCTGAGAGTCACTTCTTCCGTTTCCAGGTGGTGTGCGCTGATCAGGCAATGTGTCTGTCTCAGTTACTGCACGCGTGTGTGGTTGCATCAGCCGGCATTTTAACGTATCGTTTTCAACTAATGTCAGAAATGTATTGTAATTTTGTGGAGAGCAGTAAGGAGATTCTATATATATAGTAGTTGAAGCTGCACGCCACTGGCTGTAAACGAGTCGTATAGGGTTTGAAGAAGTGTTTGAGCAGATGGTCAACTCAGCCACGTTTGAACTGTCTGAAATTTAACCCTTTGTAGTCGGTATGTTACTTTAACGCCATCAGTGTATCTTAACCTATATGGTTCAAAAACATATCCTTAATGTAAGGTTGAGTCTGTCAATGTGGAGAAAAAGTAAAAGCCTGATGGTGAGAATCATTTATTAAAAATAGCATACAATGGCAACTTCTAGGTCTAGTTATTTTTCTCAAGATTAATGTAGTGCAAATGTAGGGCTAGTTATTAATGGCTAACATTATTATGAGAGAATACCACAAACAAAATGCATAAAGTTGCCTCCTGATTAATATTAATGTATTTTCCATGTCAGGTAAACCAATACAGCAGTCTGTGTCCTAGCTTTTGTTGTGTTAGTCAACTATGTGTCACAACTTAAGGGCAACATTTTATGAAAACAGTTAGGGATATTGAACTTAGCTCATGTGCTTAAACATGCTCATGTCTTTGGTGTTTTCCTATTTCTTCTCCGTCTGTGGCTTTAGTCTCGGGTTGTCCACTGGAAAAAGAGTAGATTTTATGCCACATTCTTGTTCACGGTGGGGGGCTTCTGGCAGGTGTCCAGGTAGCGAGGGTCGCCAAGTTCAATCCAAGTGCATTTATCACCACTTACACGCACACACTTTCAAAGGTCTCCAACCAATCACCAGTAAGCGACTCAGAGGGCCTTTCACGCATTATGTAAGCCTTGAATTTACAACTTTTAGATAAAGTTCAGCGTGTTGTTGTCAGTTTTATTGTGAGTAGTGCAACTTGAGCACATAATTCCATCTGTTTAAATAGAGTATATTAAGTTCAAGTTCATTAATTTAAGACTGTGAGAATTTAAAATATAAGGTCTGCTGCTGTATGATGAGATACCAACTATTTCCAGTCATGAATTATATACTTGGTTCTTTTAATTTAGAGCTCCACGGATAATCTTCTGTCTGTAAAAGTATGTGGTTTGGAGCAGTATATTTTATGTTAAAGTGCAATGATTAAAAGTCTGTATTGTTTATTCTCAGGAATTTTTTTGTTTGTTTGTTTGTTTTCTCAATCGCTTTGACACACTTCTCTATTGAAAATTGACATTTTCCTAAACAAAGCAAAGTACAGTTTTACTTTCAATAATAAATCATCCCCCAAATGCAAATTTTCAACTTTGGTATTTGTTTTTCTGTGCTCTTTCATTAATTTGACAGAGCAGCTCAGAAGTTTTAGTCCTGCTCTCAGGGACCACAGAGAATCACATTTTTCCTGATTATATATTCATATATATTTATTTTTTTGCATCGTAATAACTTCCACTCAAAAGCTTAAATTATATAATGTCCTAGTCGTGTAACAGGAGTTGTCTGAACTTGCTGACATCAGTGAGAAACACAACAACAAAGCCATGCGTTGTTTATATGGATGGAGCAAGCAGCTGCTACAGACCGTAATGGGGTTAGCAGGTTTCTTCCTTCTCCCCATAAGCCTCTTAGCTCCATGGCTGCCGTTGGACCAAAGCTAATTCAGGTAACTGCACCATTATCCTGCAGCAGCCTGTTGTAACCGGAGCAATTTTGGCCTGGCATTGATAGGCCTTGTGGATAATGGGACAAAACGCTATTCAGTTAGAAAGTTTGAACATGAGCTCATTGTGTAAGTGCACTGATTATGATGTGGAAAAACCCTCCCTCCTTATATGTATAGTGTAAGAAAGTATACCTAATGATCGAGAAGGCCCCCCACCCCATGCAAAAGTTGAACTGCTGAAATTCTTGTTGTGCGGCAAGAGTGCAAGCCACCCTGCCACCAACTGTCTGTTTCTTCTAAAGGTTTGCCCACAAAATGTCTGCCAGATTTGCGATCTTGTGTTTAGGTGTTGTGCGTTACATGACGGGGCTTGTAACAAGACACACCTTCAAAAATCTGTCCCAGTTCAACTCCAGGTTGGCACCTCGTGAAAGCCACAAGGAAGGGATTATCAGAGGGTCTGACGTGCACCAGGGAACCAACAAGAGCTCAGTGAGGCCCACACTCTCAGCCTTAGCAGGCCACCCTTCCTGTAAATGAGGCAGTGGTACAGTAAAGTTTTATAACACTGGAAGACTTAGAACTGTCCTCAGTGTTTCACATAGAGTCTTCTCTAACTTTTTCATAAATCAAAACTTCAGAAATTATTTGATGTTTTCATTTGAATTAGAGCTACACTGGTGTTGGGTATTGGGACGATCTGGTATTGGTCAAGATACAATTTTTAAAATACTTGTGATTTTGTTTTGGTTAATCTTGCAGCCCATGCTGTTCTACTGGAGAAATCACAAGGACTTTGGGCACCATATATGACTGTTTATGTGTTGTACACTAATGGCATCTTCAGATCTTGGTTCTCGGTGTGATTGGAAATGCCACACCAAGGAAGGCCAAATATCCACCATGCACCCATTTCAGCTTCAAAAGTTGCACTGTTTATTATTTTGGATGTTGGTCGTCTCAAGTTGTGTTTTTCTACATTGTTTGACGCCGTTTGTACTAATCCTCAATTGCTTTCATTGTTTTGAGAGGTTGTGAAAGCATGGCTATTTTTTGTGCGCTTGAGAAAAAAACGTATAGACGATGTGTGTTGACCTGAAATTATTTTGGGAACATCAAATAAATTGTGAAGCTTTGGAGATTGTTTCCTCTATTTGAATTTACTTTTACAAACGAGGACGTGAGCAAAGAAAAAATAAATATTCCTAAACCGCAAGTAAATGTCTGTTCCGGTAATGTTTAATCGATGATAAAAATGCTTCCTTAAAGACTTCTGTCAGGTGACCACTGGTTCGTTTTGCAGGTTGCTGGATTGAATTTCACTTGTTCTCATTGCCTCCGACTGTGACTGACCCGAAATGTCAGCCCGCCTCCTCAGTGCTCCCTCAGAGTCAGATATCAAGACTTCAAGACATGTGACGGCCTGGTGTACTACTTTACTTCTTTTAGATTCTTTGAATGTCGCAAAATATATATACTAATAGTTGTTTAATAGTACACAAAGAAAATGTTTGTTTTACATTGCGTTGGGTAAGATGGCTGTAGTATGTTCAATACCAAAAGATCCGATAAATATTTCAAATACAATAGAAGGAACAAAATACTATTCGTTAATACATCATTAGAAGCAATATACAACTACCATTTACAATACATTGTATCAGTGATACTGAATGATCAATGATACTGAATGATTGTTCAGTCTGTTCACAGTTCAAGTTGGCACGCAGTTTAACTTTTTTTGTGCCTGTCCTTAATTTGGATAAATGAGAGTTACAGGAGAAAGGCCATCTGATATAAAATTTGGAATTTGGTGTCAAATTTGGAATTCAAAACCTAGGTCTAGAAATAAGACTCATCCATACTCTTAATATTTAGAAACATTTTTGTTGTGTTGTACCTTGTTCATGGCATCAAACATGCAAAGACAACTTTCAGTTGTTCAAGACTATGAATAGAGATGCACCAGTCTATCTTAATATTTGAGTTTAGATCTAACTTTGCTGTTTCTTCTCTAGCAAAAAAGTGTGCTGTGTACATATTGCATTTTTATAAACCTAAAATGTCAGCTTTTATTGTTCCTCCTCCATTCAAACCTTAGGCCCAGTACAAGGCTGTAAAGACGAGGGAGTGAATCCAATTGAAGTGAAAATACATGTGTAGTTTTGGTTTGGGATAAAAGCTGCTGAACTCTTCCTCCTCAGGGTCACATCTACTGGAGCTGATTGTCATCCGCCTCAATCCGGTCTTTTGTTATTGTCTGTGATAAGATAAATCTGGCCTTGACATTTGAAAGCTTTGCCTAGATTGCTGCATAAACTATAGCAGCTTCTATACATGCATTTAGTGTTAACAATACAAAGGCTATTTGGTACATTCTTGCAGCATCCTTGGATCCAAACTAAATCATTAAATCTAAATGGCTTTCCTATTATATTTATAATATTCAGCATAGGTATTTAGCGGGGAGTGAACAATATTGACACAAATGTTACGTTTCTATGGGTTTTTAAAAAAAATTACATTTATTTTTTGGAACCCATCCAAAATGTGTCTGCAAAGCATTTTGGTTGAGGTTCAAGTATGGCACAAATATGACTGTAAACAAATTAGCCACAAAAGTGCAGATTTTTTTTTTTTTTTTATCAGATGTTTCTTGAGCTTTTTAATCATTTTCCTATAGGGATGGATGATATATCAGCATCAGTGATATTTGATATTGGTATCAGCTGAAAAATCTAATTGGACCATACTATATTTCATTATTAGACAAGATATTCTTCAACCTCCATAACATAGGATCTTTGTCAGTCCAGTTTCCAGTACAATCTTCAAATAGGGTTGAAAATGGGATTCAACTAGATGTCCAATAAACCAACATTTTCTCCATAAAGTGAAGATATTAGATAATTTAACACACAGTTAATCTGACAAACATTCACACTCACTCATTCACACACACTCTATGTGCAAGTGTTTCTTTCCACAGATCTGAAAACTCAGATTTTAAATGCCACTGTTATTACCATTGTGATGCTATAATTATTTGGATCTTATCAGAACAAATCATGTCTTATGACTGGACTTAATTTGATTAATTAGTTTAATAATGAATTTTAATAATCAGTTGTTTTAAAAATTGCTAAATCGTGAATTTTTTTATTTTTATAAATAACTCCTGACTTCTCTTACTTGCATAGCCTTGTTATGGTGCAATTAAACAATTAACAAATCTGATTCTAATTTTAATATTTAAAATTAGATTAGATACAAATACAAATGTAATTGAAGGCACTATATTGTTTTTTAGTAAATAATAGGATATGATGAGAATGAAAATGTAAAGAACTTACCCTGTTCAAAAACCTAGTAATCCCTGCTCTGACTTAGATCAAAATCATAATCATTCAGTCACCTGTCACTCTATAATTTGTCTAGGTTTGGGACTGGCAAAAAGACTACAGTACTTAATATTTCTATATTATAATTATAATAGAATCCTTGAGTTATTCCTTTGTGCGACGTGACCTCATCAGCATCTCAAAGCATCTCAAACATGAATGCTCTGACATAGCTTTTTGACCTTGAGAATTTAACTTAGTGTCTATGCTTTCTCTCGCATTTTACTGTGTACTGTGTATAAGCCACCATTTTTAAGCAATTATTGAGGAAATGTTAAGAAAAAAGCCAGTGAAAGTGTATCTCTCTCAAGTAAATGTTAGCTCTGTTTTTCCTGTGTAATTCCGTGCTGTGCGTTACATACAGTACCTGGGGTAGCTCTCTGCAGCTGGTTCATCTTATCGAGCTCCTGGTTCTCCCTGGCCTCTTCCACTTGTTGATATTAGCTCAAAGAAGTCAAACCATATCTCCCCCTGCAGCCTTTGGCGTTCCCAGGCTTCTCGCTGTCTGTAAAAAAACACACAAAATGGTATGAAGGAGAGAGGGGAAGCTAGTGTTTTTAATTGACTTACAGCTGTGCTCTACAGTAGGTTTATTTATCGAAAAAATTAAACACACAACAAGCATTTCTTTGGACTAGAGTTTCCAGTGCTCTGCTGTGGCAGAAAAAGCTGAAAGGTTTAATTCCTGGAAGTTGTGTAACAGGTACTTATATGGGCTCATGCCTTTTTTATATGTAAAGTCTCAAATGTTCAAGGGGATTTTCAGAGAATGTTTCTGACTGAACCTCACATGAAAAGTATCTAACCCCTGCTATGTGATATTGGCCTTGCAATTAAACTGTGCTACTTAAGCTGCAATAGTGGCATTCCATCACCATGTGACAGAGGAGGGAATGAATAATGCACCGAAATGTTCAACCATTTGAGTTTCTAGAAAGGTTTTGTGTTCAGTTAGGACTGTCAAGCTTATTTGGTAAATAATTGTGAGTACTCAGGTCACAATATAATTTTAAAAGTACATTTTTTATTAATTTTATTGAAATTATACTTGAAATTTACTGGCACAGTATAGTTTGTTGACAAGTCAAATTGTACTGTTCTCATAGGGTTTGTGTATGCGTAATCTTGTAAAAACTGTAAGTGCAATCTTGTTCCGTGTTTGAACTCTTGTTTTGTTGTTCTTCACAGGTGCAAAGAAACTCTCTGACCACACAGCTGCTACTTCCTGCTCATTAGAGTCTGAAACTCCCACGACAAAGCGGCCGATATCAAACTGGTGCTTAGATTACCTCCACCATCTGCCTCCAGCACTCTCTTCGTCCAGTCCTAGCCGTGTCAATCACCCTCCCACGCGCATCTCTTTAAAAAAAACAAAACACTGCTTCAAAACCCACTCACAGCAAACATGGTGAGCAAGCTGTCTGCGTTCGGTAAGACTCTCCTCCGTCGCCGGGTATTGGACTTTTCCGGAGAAGAGACCCGGTTCGCCCGATGCCTGTCCACGTTAGACCTCATTGCACTCGGGGTGGGGTCGACGTTAGGGGCTGGGGTGTATGTCCTGGCTGGAGAAGTGGCCCGGGAGAAGGCGGGACCAGCTATAGTCCTGTGTTTCCTCATCGCAGCATTATCCTCCATGTTGGCCGGACTGTGCTATGCAGAGTTTGGAGCGCGGGTCCCCAAAACGGGCTCAGCCTATCTGTACAGCTACGTCACAGTGGGAGAGATATGGGCCTTCATCACAGGGTGGAACCTCATCCTCTCATATGTCATAGGTGAGCATTCATTCACTCTCTGCATTTTTATGGACCTATTGATTTAATCTTTTGGTTTTATCTCAGTGACAGTATTCAACCAATCAGAAATGCCTGTAAATGTCATAAATGAGGTTCAAGCATTGCAAGAAGGTCTATGAACTGTACAAACTGTAAATGTCAGGGTTTTTTTTTCTTTTCCCCCCCCTTTTTTTCATATTTTTCATATTATATGAAACTACTCAGGCCATTGTTCTTTGTTTCAATTCAGTGCTCATAAATACCTAGTTAGTCATATGACCAAGTAAATACGTCACTGTAAGATTTGGATATCGAAAGGTTGTATCTAGAGTGTTATATCTGTTTCGCACAGTATTTTTTATTCCAGTACTGAACATTACCTGATCTTGTTTCCTCCAGGTACAGCCAGTGTGGCACGGGCGTGGAGCTCCACCTTTGATAACCTGGTGGAACAGAAGATCTCAGGGTTCTTCAAAGCTTCGATGGCCATGAAGGTCCCAGGACAGGTGCTGGCTGAGTACCCCGACCTGTTCGCCCTCATCCTGGTCGTGCTACTGACAGGTGAGGCATTTCAACCTACAATTTCATACCATAATATGTGTTTATTATACATTTTTTTGGCTTTAACTCCATTCCCAAGTACCACAAAATACCTTCATTCTTGACACTCTCACTCACCTTACAAAAATTTTACAACCTCACACTTCTTGCATAACGTGCAACTACAAGAGGGAAAGGGTGTGTACCGTAGCATACTGAAATGCTTTTTAAAGCTATTCTTGCTACATTTTTCAAGACATTAGTCTGTTTTTTTAATCATCACAATTCTTCCATAATTTCTTGATTTGTCATCTTAGTTACATATTGGTTAACTGGACAAACCAGCCTGTGTTAGGGACGTAGGAAATTTAAAATCAAGTTTTGGCCATTACATGTTTTCTGGTGTTTTAACTTGTCAAAGCAGCACATCAAGAACACATCAATTGTGCAGGTAGCAAGAAAACTGCATTCAAAATCATGATAAAATGAAAGAAAATATTCACAGTCAATATAAAATGTAAAATTATCTGTGAAATGGTCTGCTTTTAACATATTAACCATATACATATGAAACCAGTCATTTAAAAATAAACAATAGTGGCAGATTTCAGAAGTAATGCTGACTAATTCTATAGTATTTATTGCACAAATATTAATTTCTCAGAATCACAATAACACTTGGCACACAGAGCACACAGAATGACGGCATGCCATATGTTTAGGAATTCCCGGGGGTAACGAGACACACTAAAACAAAAAGTGGTGTGAAAAAACTGTTATCTTGAGAAATATTGTTTACATATATTTACTTCACTATTCCTTGTCTTGATTCTGACCATTTCCCTCCCATGTTAGTAAAAGACCCATATATTTACATATAGAGTTATGCTAATTGAAAACATGGCAGTATTACACCTCCTCCTTTACAGTTACATAATGTGTTCAGTTTAGCGTGTGATGTTGTAAATGTGGTAGTATCGGACAGTGCTGGCTGCTGTTGGAGTGTGATGGAGAATGAGCCGCCCACGTTTCACTGGGTCTTTAACATTGGTGCCAGTAACGCTGCTTTTATCCCACTGCTTCTTCAGACTATCCCCAAGGTCCTCAGTATGGCAGTGTCAACATCAAGGCTCAAAAAGTATAATATTTTTGGATATGATCATTTAAAGGTACATTATGTAACTTTTTTAGTGGAAACTTTTCTGTCAGATGCTTTTCTCCATAGAGATGTTACTGCTTTGTCTGGAATGTTTCTAGCTCCATGGAGACGAAATTAGACAAATTTAAGAGTCAGATCTGTGGAGAGGCAGCCCAACTCACAGTCACAATGCCTGTTTTGCTAGATGTTTTTATTATTAAGTTATTAAACCTGTAATTGAATAAATGTAAGGTGGAGCTGTTTAATGTCATATTATGGAACATTCCAGACAGAGCAATGACATACTCATTGAAACAAGCAGGTGAAGTCACACAGTGCACCTTTAAATAAATAATCAACTTTTATGGTTTCATATTTATTATCTATATTTTTGACTTAATATATCTGTATATTTAACAAAAAACTCTCTTTCTTCCACCAGGCCTTCTTGCGTTTGGTGTGAGCGAGTCCGCGTTGGTGAACAAGATCTTCACGGGCATAAACCTGGTGGTCCTGGGCTTCGTCATCATCTCTGGTTTCGTGAAGGGTGACCCAGCTAATTGGAGTCTAAGTGTGGACGACTACATTGCCTTCAGAAACACCACCAACAGCAGCGGCTCTATCAAGTCAGTGTCTCGGCAGCACAATACGAAGCCTTGTATCACTGGAGGCTGTGTGTCTTTGTGCATTTCTTACAAGTGTGTGTCTTCTCCTGCAGAGTTGAGGAGGAGTTTGGCGTGGGCGGTTTTGCTCCGTTCGGTATGACTGGAGTTCTCTCTGGAGCTGCCACCTGCTTCTACGCCTTTGTGGGCTTTGACTGCATTGCAACCACAAGTGAGTGTTTATATAAGCTATAAGCAGTTAATGCAATATTGCTGGTACAGCCTTCTCATAATAAGACCAGTGAAAACAGGGCTGCCATTTTGGACATGGATAGAGATAAAACTTCATACCAATATCATTTATGGGCAAACAGCGCAGAAAGCTGGTGAAATATTGGTACAGGTGTTTTTTTGTATCTTTTCTGGCGGATTTGCCACCTGATACCAGTAGTAGTAGCAGTTGTAGTAGTGTGTCATAGTTTTATGCGAGTGCATTCTGTGTAAGTTAGTCACCTGTCTTTCATTCATTGGGTGTGCATTGAGAAGGGAATGTAAATGGAAGGTTTGTAGATGAATACTACAGCGGGGTGTGTCCAAGGCTGTAGAACTGTTCCAAGAATCTGGGAACTATGAACTCTGAGGCCATTTTGCTGAAACACAATTTACCCATAAATGATTAACCTTTTCTTTTAACTTGCACATTGTATCTAGAATTACGAAGTTTCAAACCAAAAATATGAAATATGATAATGGGTATTCAACAAAAAATCTTTTGATGTAGCTTTTATAATGGCAACAACCATTAGCATCTTTAATACAATATGTTATAAATCATTAATAATGATAAACACCGTTATCATTACAAAATAATAAGCACTCATTATTTGAATTTGAATTTTAATTAATCAGAAACAGGATATGGCTGTTTATAATATGAAATGCACTTATAATACACTTGGATTAATCAAATATTTAATCTTGGCTGATTACTGACCTCAGCTGCTACCTCCAATTAAAAATTATATTGCTTAACATAACTGACCTTACTAGCCCTGATTTATGGCACCTTCTTACCTTTTTGTTTTGTGATATATTTTGTAATTTTGACATTAGGCTAGAAATAAGAAATAAGAATGCGTCAACAAGTCTGCTATTAAAATCTAATGGTAATGATTTGATAGGTTCATCTTAAATATTTTATTTTCCTCCTCAGGTGAAGAGGCCAAGAACCCAATGCGTTCCATCCCTATTGGCATCGTAGCTGCTCTGCTCATCTGTTTCATTGCGTATTTTGGTGTTTCGGCTGCTCTGACCCTCATGATGCCGTACTTCCAGCTCAACACACAGAGCCCTCTCCCTGAAGCCTTCTCCTATGTGGGATGGTCGCCTGCCCGGTACATCGTGGCTGTGGGGTCCCTCTGTGCCCTATCCACTAGGTGAGGATCCAGGAATTGGAGATTTGGGTATTATTGGCCAAATGACAATATTGTTACATTTTAAATGTATTAGTTGAGGATTATGTATCAGATAATAGTGAAAGAGCAATTTTTTTTTAGATCGATGGAGAATCTGTAAAAACAGCTGAACAGGTTGAATGTATTATGTATTGTTATCATGAGTATACTTAATGAGGATACTTATAATGTGACCCCACTCTTCTGTCTGTAGTCTGCTGGGCTCCATGTTCCCCATGCCTCGTGTGATCTACGCCATGGCTGAGGATGGTCTGCTCTTTCGGTCCCTGTCTCGAATGAACCCGAGGACCAAGACTCCTCTGCTGGCCACCATTGTCTCTGGTATCATTGCAGGTAAAGTTTGACAATGGATTCATCTAGTTTGAATTCATCTGTTTACCTCTTTTCTCAAAAGTGTTATGTTAAATTTTCAACAGTATAGTCTGTTTTGGATTGGACAACTATCTACTGCCACGTTTATTTTAGCATCTTAATGTCAAGGCACATACAAAGTAACACTAAACCACAGGATTAAGATGAATTAAAATAAATTTAGTTTAAGACAAATCTGATTACTGTGTGTCACATTGCTCATACAACTATAAATCATAAATCTATTTCTCCCTTCTAGCTTTGATGGCCTTCCTGTTTGACTTGGCTGCCCTGGTCGACCTCATGTCCATTGGGACGCTTTTGGCTTATTCTTTGGTTGCCATCTGTGTCCTTATCCTCAGGTAAGACTTGTTATATTATATATGTCTATATTTGCATAAAATTTGCAACTAAACTGAACTTTAACATGTTAGCAACTCAAGCTAAAAACTTTTTTTTTTTTTAAATGCAGATTTGTCAACTGTTTTGTAAACTACACTGTAATTGATCCACATGGGCGTTTACTTGGTCATGGTAATAGGGGTCAATATTGACAAAAATATTCTCGATATTTATAGTTATTCTGAAAAATATATTCAGATGTTAACATTGCAGTGCAACAGAAATGTACTAAACTATGTCAGTTGAAATTTTAAAAAGTATCACACAAAACACAATCACTTCCATCTTTTTTTTTCAAAGATTATACTTCAAGCGTCTTTTATTTTGTTTTTTTTTCCAAATGTTTTTGTGTCCTTCTGAGGTATTTTCTTCTTTATACTTCTAAAACATGGACCCTCTGGTGCCAGGACTCCATTCCACATTTCAGTGTGATTTTCTTGGTTTAAATAAAGGTCAAATAGAAATAAACATTTGATATTTTGTGCCCTGTAGGTACCAGCCAGGTACGCTGAACTCACCCAGTCAGATGGAGAAGCTTGTGGAGATGGTGGGAGGGGAGAAGGTGGCGGTGACCGGAGGCGACAGCAGCGATGAGTACGGCACAGACGAGGCTGACGAGAGGCCGCTCAAAGAGGCATTCACCCTCAAACTGCTGTTTGTCCCAAGCTCCAAAAACCCAACACATATCTCTGGAAACATTGTTTACTGCACCACTGCTATTGTTTGTGAGTCTAACACTTTTTTTTTGTATTTTTTGAGACAAACTTCCATTTATTCATTTTGTTTTCTTTTTTTTTTTCTTTGTGCAAAATGTCACACCAATTTATGATAGAAAAAAAATGTAATAATAATGACTACGCTGTTGAATTTACTGCTTCTAATTCTATAAGGAAATGAATTTGCCTTTCTGGGACAACAATGCTTTTTTATGCTTAACAAGAAAACAATACAGACTTATTGTAAAATAAATATTGAAGACTAAATGCCAAATACTACTAAAGACTTAAATGCTAAATCAGGAATGTATGGAACAAACTGTATTGGTAAATTTGGTTTTGTCCAGTCCTAGCTTGTTGCCTCATGGATGTGTTATAATAACAAGCAAGTAATGATTGATTGACTCGTATCTTTTTATTTTTGCAGCCGTTTTCATCACAGTGCTATGCGTGTTGCTGGCTAATTTCCCGAGCGAGTTGTTGAGTGTTCAGCCCAGGGTGTTGGTGCCTGTCATTCTTTTGGCTGTGATGTGTGTTCTCTGCTTCATCATCATCTGTCGACAGCCACAGAGCAAAGAAGCACTCACTTTCAAGGTAAATATTCTCAGTATTCAGTCATTACAGAAGCAATTAGAAAAATCCCCCATTTATGTTTTTCACTACAGTATTTTAAAGTTCTTGTGTAAGTAAATATTTTGGCTTCATGGAAAGTGACATGATAGATGTATTTCATGGTGATAATTAAAAATAGAAAATATCATATGACCTACAATCTGAGAACTCATTGGTGGTGTAACAGAATCCAGTATTCTTTGCATCAACTAATTCGGCTGATTCTGGTTCAGTATCTTATTGTCTCTGTGTAATATTAACTGAGGGTCACTGTATACAATTGAATTATTTGAAATGACCAATCCAAATCCACATGGGAGCAGTGCTCAGTAATGCCAATGATCAAATTTAATTCAATAAACTCATTATGAATGACTTATTAAATAAACTCATGGCTATTTCCTTGTTTTTCCCCAGTCAAAACCAGCCCTATTATTATCATGCTCATACAGTACCACAATATCATGTTTTATTTGGTATTTTATACATTTTCTGTATTGTCTTGCAGGTCCCTCTCCTCCCCTGGCTCCCTTTGTTCAGCGTCTTTGTAAACATCTATCTCATGATGCAGCTTGACATGGGAACGTGGCTGCGGTTCACTGTTTGGATGGCCATTGGTAAGAAACATTTATTATGTGGCTTTTAGGACATTGCCATAATCACATCTGTTGTAAACCAGCTCTATCCAATACAAAATTAGCTTTTCAAGGAAGAAATATATTTTTATAACCGTTTTTTTTTTATTAAACAGGGGAAAGCAGATGAATAAATTATGACAAATATTAGACATTGATATGAGCTAAAATAAAATCCATATCAGATCATCCTTCGTTTTAAAGCAGTTATATTGAGTGAATTGATTTTTATGCAACTTTTCCATCTCCAGGTTTTGCAATCTACTTCTTCTACGGCATCAAGAACAGCAGCGAAGCGTCGAGTCGGTCCTCACCGCGCAAATACGAACCAGCCCAAACCAAGGCCCCCATCTACACCGGGGCCCCAGACGACAGCGATGTAGAAGGGGGCAACACAGCGTGACACCATGGACTCAAATCGTAACTAAGGTGTCATTTTAGCAAAGTCTAAAATGCCCTGTGCACAGTTTATACCTCTCTGACGTGAGGCTCAAAAAGGCCATGGGTGTTGCTGTCAATGTGGACTCAGATTATATGGTGACTTAGCGTTAGCCACCTACCGCTAATAAACAAACAACGGACTTCACTTACAAGACATTACCACTCTATGCTTACAACTGGAACCTTGTTACATATTATCAGCAATCTACATGTATGTGCTGCTTGGATATCGGGCTAGAACAGTGGTTCTCAAACTTTTCACATCAAGTAAAAATTGTTGGAATTACAAAAGTGGTTTGAAATGGGCTAACCAAAGCCCAGAAGAGAACCTGGACTACAAGCTGGCATTGTATAAATGGACTTCTTCAGACCTAACCCGGGTCCAAACCAGTGTTAAACTAGAGCTGAACTAAGTCAGAACCAACTATATCAGGACCAAAGATAAAATAAATGTAAACTAAGCCACACAGGACTAAACCAGGTTTAAACAGGAACTAAATGTTGTACAGTTTGAGAACCACTGAACCAGGGAGATTTTCCGCCTATTAGGACACTTGAATTTAACTGCGTGTATATGTGCTTTAGGCCTGTGCGCTTACTGTTACAGCCTGTTGAAATATGTGTAAAAAACAGGGTAGTGCTAAAAACGCGTTGTTTACAGTCAGTTTGTCCGGGTCAGTGGCACTTCTTGACGTCATTTTGGCTCTGTAACCCTTAACTCCCACCAAACAGCCGTCCACTACATGCATTAGCTGCTTTTTAATAACATAACTATTGTAATAACTGGCATTTGGGCGCATACTGAAAAATGTGGCCTTTATTTATGTAAACTTGACATGAATCACTGCGTCGCAAAGAGCATTTAAAGGTATAACATGCTAGATTGTAAATCTTTTTTTTTTTTTTTTACATTGAAATCCCTTAAATATGTTTATCTATCTATTTATTATCTGTTCCCCTAGCAGTGGGTACTAAATGATTTAATTGCTTGTTCAATATTACTTTACTACTGCCTTAATTTGTTGATAAACAAAAAAAAAAACGAAATAAGAAGTAAGACTCTCAAAAAACCCAAATACGATTTAACCTTCCTAATTCATAGACTTTGACCCTACATTTGAAACCTCAGCTTTAACGTACAATGTTAGGTCAATGGCCTCTACATCATTTCAACATTTTACTCTTTTGTTTACAAATGAATGTCGTTTGTGGGTGTGTGGCTTTCAGCCAATCACAGCTCACTGAAAAAAAAAAACACTGCTAAACTGGTATGAAGTGAGCCTGAGATCATTCAAAGCAGATAGGGCAGAAGGCCAAGTATTTTTCAAATAAATCCTGCATTTTATATTGTTAAATGCTCTATAGATATCCGTTAGCCATGTCAAAACTTGAAAACTTTTAAGAAGCAACTCTATCAAGTTTAAAGATATTTATAATTGTCTGTGAAGATCTACTGCAGTGTAATTTATTCTGCTTATTCATTTGTTATGGCCGATCCCCAAATATCCACAGATCTGACGAAACTTGAGATTTGCACTTATACACACAAAATCCCAATCTGAATCAAACTTTTATACATTTTTTCTGTCAGAACTGAAGTGGGGTCTGCATCTACAGTTTAACTAATATAGTTTTGTCTTCTACTGTATTTTCTTCTTGTGAGAGGATGTATCTTATCACAAATGTCTAGTTTCAATGGAAACGTGTCTCTGGCAGCTTTGTCTGTTGAGCTCCCATATTTTCTATTAGTACATGTACATTTACTCTTTCTCTGTTAGAATTGTTAATATTTAAATGTTCATAATATTTTTGGGACTAGCTTTTCTTTGCTTATCAATCATTAGACATGTATTTTATGTTGCATATTAGTGTAATATGTATTTGAACTTTAACTTCAATGAACTTTAATGAAATAATTGTATTTTTGTGATTTTTCTCTGACCAAATGAACATGTTTTGTAATTTTTTTTCCCAAAACATAAATGACTGCGAAACCCAGTCTCTAAATTATGTATTTTTATTTTATTTTATTTTTGTAACATTTTGTCCCTATGCTGGAAAAAAATGAAATATTGTTCATAGCTTTTGTGGCTTTATTGAAGTAATTTTAGCCTGTACAGTATTAGTGTTTAACTGTATTTTTTGTATTGTAAATTATAACTTGATTTGGCTTTTGTACATTCATTTCTCTGAAATTGACATATTGCTGCTGTAAGTAAAACTACTTATTTTGAGGAAGAATTAGAATACAGCCACTGTTACAGACATTTTTTTTGGAAACTGTGCCTAAATAACTATGTCTTACTTTAGGCCTTGGGCGGGGTCAGACTATGGAGAAATAGCTAGTTTTGAGATGTCTACAAAATTAGCTTGATTTGTATGTAAAAGGTAACTTGAATCCTGCTCTTGTGCCTCGTTCATAGTCAGTGCTATATCACCCCCTCTATGCTTTGGCATAATAATCAATTTAACTACTTCTGTCTGTTTTATATCTTGTAAATATGGCTGTCATGTACAAATGAACTGTATTTTCAATTTTTTTTTAATAAATAAAATGGCAATTCATCCTTACAACATTTCAGAGTTTTTAATTTGTTTCAGGAAATCTAAGGCAAAACTTCCTGGTGTTAGTTACCAGCAGGTTTACGTTGAGGCTTCATGAGCAAAAATGTTGTGCAGCTTGTTTGACTTGGTCACCCAACCTATTTATGCGTTTATAGCTTTTAGTGGGTCATCACCCTTAAAAGTCAATGCAAAATATTGAATTGAAAAATAAACTGAATTAAAAAATGGAAAAAAAGGCATGTGTAATTAACAATTTTATATTGCAATTAAATTTGACAGTACCATTACCAATTTTAACTACATAAAACAAATTAATCACGTATATTCTGCTCAAAATCTTGTAAATTATAGCCTAATCAAAACTGTAAAAATGCTTGTTAATTTATTTGTTAATTATCTAAAACTATCTGCTGCTCGCATAGGCCTACTGGACCTTTTTTGTGACACAGGTGATCAGTGATCATTCGTGATCATGTGACAAACACTTAAAGGTTGTATAGAGGATTTTCCAAGGAACGAGAAATCCAGCGACTGTTTGTCCTTTTTCAAATGTTGCGCATGCGTGAACCCACCCCCCCTCCCCTACAGCTCCCTACGTAGAAACGCCTCCTCCCGCCTCCTCGTTACGCCAGAAACAGGTTTGTTTACAGCCGGTGCGCTGCACATGACTTGTAAACAACTAACTACAGTGTTGGTTAGGCAAGGTGGAGAAGTGAGGAGCGGGGGGGAGCGGGTGCGCGGACATTTCGTGCGCGGAAAGGAGCAGGGAGAAGAGCGGAGCAGGGAGCAGGGAGAGGAGGGAGAGGAGAGAGGAGCGGTGCGCAGAGATTCTGTGCCCGGAGAAGTGAGGAGCAGGGGGAAGAGCGGATGGGCAGCGGGGAGGAGCAGGAAAGGGGTGCAGAGAAGGTTGCGCGGAGATTCAGTGCGAATGAACTAGCTACAACACGCAGCAGCAAGCGGACTCTTTCTTTGCCTTGAAAATTACGTTTTCAGACATAGGATATCGCTTTCGTGTCCTGAAAAACGTTTGACTAGCTCTTGGAAATAAAGTACGTTTTCATAATAAGCAGAAGTGACCTGTCCAGGAGTAATTTGGCGACCAGTGCGTCAGTCTTTAGACCCTGCGTCTGCTTCAGTTGCGCCATCGCTGGAATGAATCTTCAAGAATCACCTTAGTTTGGCTTCGCTGCTTTTCCCCTTGTCTTCTTCTTTCAGCAATCTCAAAAACGGACTTTCTCTTGTGGCTAACTGCTCCTGGATTCTTGTCTGCCATTGCAACAAACTTTGTGCGAACTGCGAGGAAGATATAGGTCAAAAAAAGCCGCTAAGAACTGTTGCGTTGGTGGAGTAAACAGCGTCTGTGCGGCTTGCGTCTGTGGACTGCGTGACAGGCGTACGTAAACCACGTACCGGCGGCGCGCAGGCAAGTCAGTTACGCTAGAAACGTAGGGAGATTGATTGACAGCCTGTCAGCTAACAGATAACGAGGCAGTGTCGTTATCTATTGGTAATTGTTTAGCTGGCCCCACCACGTCCAGAGTTGATGAATTTTTATTCTCTTTTTTTTGGTCATCATAATTACAAGGCTACTGCACCTCTATAATGCTATCATTGACAATTTGAAACAAAAAAAAATCCTCCATACAACCTTTAAAGCGTACAGCTGCTGTGGTCAACGGACAAGCGCCGCTGCTCTCACTGCGTTTGTAGACGGACAACGCCCCCTTGTGTTCATGTTTAAAACTACAAGTAGTACAATAACAATAGTCTCTTAGCTATGGGTGACCGGATTTTCAAATAAAAAACTGGAACTTCCCTGGTTTGGGTTGGTTGGTAATAATAAAATTGTGACACGAGTGTGTAATTAAGGAACACTGTTACACACTCGGCACTAATGTGAGTCAGTATAGTCACATTTTCTTTGTGTTTTGATCATTTTAAGCAGCTTTTCTGTATTTTACCCAAAAAACTGACAATTTTTGCCTCTCTTTACTGTTGGTTGGGATAAGACTGGTCAAAAATAGGGACATCTGGGACATTTCTTGTATAAAACGGGGACAAATCACTGGTTTTGTATAAATCTGCAGGGACAAGGGACACAGGGCTCAAAATTGGGACTGTCCCGGGTAAATAGGGATGTCTGGGACCCTACTATTAGCAAATGTGTGGTAGATTACCTTCACCAGTCACAAACTACTGTACTCCTTTAATATAATACAAACATCGGGGCAAAAGACAAACCTAAGCCTATAGTCTGCATGGCCCCATTGATGTTACACTGTGAGAATCACTGACTGAAATGCCAGTTGCCTTTCATCAGCACAGTTACTGGATGCGTTCAAGTGCAAGTCAGTATTGGTTCATGCTAACAGCAGATATAAGAGGACACAAAGAAATGAACGAGCCAAAAGATACACAAAAGATAAACATGTTGTGCATAGACTATAGGCAGCATGGGAGAAAATTAAATTAGACACACGTTCTTTCCAAAGCCATAGAAAATGGTCCTACAGTATAGCCAATTCTCCTTTACATCTCAACAATAAAGGAGAACAATACACTATATTGTAGACTAGCACTTCTATAACCTCGCAACATAAAAAAGAAAACAGCATGTGATTGAGTTAAGGTATTTATTACGCACAGTCCCAGAACGCGGCACCGGTTATTGGCCCCGCTCACATGAGTTCCACTTAAACTCTCTTTTCAGACCATCCCTGGACTTTGGAAAACAGCCTCTTTCCTTCTTTATTCAGTGTAAAACTTTTGTATCGGCTATTTGGTTAGGTTTTGCGTATTTTTATAGGAGTTTTGTAGACCTATACATCCTAACACAGAATGTGCTTATAGCCTTGTTAATTCATGACATTTCCTCCTCTTTAACCGCCGTGTTGTGTAGCTCCTGGCCGTGGCCATGCAGCAGGAGCTTCTGTTTAAAGTGCTGGTGATTGGGGACCTCGGAGTGGGTAAGACGTCCATCATAAAGCGCTACGTGCACCAGATCTTCTCCCAACACTACCGCGCCACCATCGGAGTCGACTTCGCTCTCAAAGTGATTCACTGGGACAACAACACGGTGGTCCGACTGCAGCTCTGGGATATAGCAGGTCTGTGCAGAAAGCTGAAGAGAGGCTGATAATAGTCTTTATATTAATGGTTTGACTACTGTTGCATCAGCAATATACCGGGAGAGCCCTATTAAGTGATCAAATAAGCGTAGTAAGCCAATTAAGATGTGTATGGATAAGTAATCAAGTTAATTACTAGTCATTTATATAAAACATTTTATGTACGTTTTATTCTAGCAATTTTGTGTAGACCGTCATAGAAAGAGTGCATATGATCTTGGTGGGTCAAGCAGGTGGCAACTCTGGCAAAGTTGATCTGATCTATCTATCTTTCACACGTCTGCATAGTCTGTCTACGTTTCCAAAGCTCAAAATGCTCTTGTGAATTTATGAAGCTGTAGTTTTCAAGTTAACCTCAAGTTAAGTTAGCCTTTTTAAATTTTTGGTTAGTAGAGAAGAGATTGGCAATTTATGGGTATGGGAGTTGTGGAGTGTTTTCAATTTGAGAGAAGAACTCATCCTAAATATGCAGGAATATGCAAATATGCATATATATGTGTGAATGAAACAAACCATAACTCCAAGTCTGTTTTTGATGAGGAAACATGATCACACTTCAAACATAGTTATTGTGAAAGGTCTATGTATGATCTGCATCATACCGAGGGTTATTTTGTCTCCACCGAGGATCTGGAGGAATGCTAATGTCCCATGGTCCTGTTTCCAGTCACATGATTTCACTTTCTTCTCACAGACGATCTGTTCAGAGCTGCACACTGGTTTAATGCTTTAGTTTTGGTGCCCAGTTTTATGTACTATTCTCATTAGTTTTGCTTTAGAGTGACACATGTGTGCATGCTTTGCAGGACAGGAGCGCTATGGGAACATGACCAGAGTTTACTACAGAGAGGCCGTGGGGGCACTGGTTGTGTTTGATGTTACACGAGCTTCTACCTTTGAGGCTGTGCTCAAGTGGAAGGACGACCTGGACTCCAAAGTAAGAAGACACATAGACCTGAAACAAGTTCAGCAAATAATTTTTATCTTGACTATATACCACAGACTGTATAAAAAAAGTGGACTAAGCGAGTGTGACTTCACCCACAGTATTCGGTTCCACTCAAATGATGATTGCGATGCTAAGGCTTACAGGATCGAGTTTGGAGCCAGGTTCTATATTATGAATAGAATTTTTTTGGACAAACAAATAGTGAAAAAAACCCCACCAGGATCATGTAGAGCAGGTTAATATGAACATTTTAAGACCAAAATGACAAGGCTCCCTGTAGCAGTTACAGAGAGAGGGGCTACAATATTCTAATGTAAGTCAATGGGAGCCAGGGTCAGTAGGAGCTGGAAGCTCAAGATGTCCTCAAGCGATAATTTAGCTTATGGTCAATTTTTTAAAAACATCTCATATTCATACATCTTTAGCAAAATAATTATTACTTGAAGCCCTTACACACAAAAATTCTGCAAGGTTCAATTGATATCACAGCATTCTTAAGAGTTTTTAATTATTACTTATTATAATTTAAAAAGCTAAGAATTTGATAGAATTACAGATGTTTCCACACAGTTTAAGTTTAGGATCTTTGTAATTACCAGACATATCCACATGGAACACAAATGGGATATCGTTGATTTGCTTTACTCTGTCAACTGAAGCACACTGAAATTAGTTTTAGTTTTTATTAAAGTGCCAGATAGTACACCATAACTTTATACTTGTTCACACTCTCCTGGCTTTGTCCTGATCTGAACCCAGTTTAGTCCTGAGTACACCTGGTTTGATCCTTTTCTAGACCTCGTTAGTTTAGTCCCAATTTAGATTTAGACCGTGCAAGTGTCACACTTAAACTTATCCACTACTCTTAAGATCAGTAGTTGACAAACAGGTCGAGGTCCTATTGTAGGCTGCAAGTAAAATTACTTTTTTGGACTTTTAGAAAAAAACAACCCTCTGTAAAGAAACTGAATATTGGTGTACCATGTCGAATGTTCATACAATGGGAGTTTCAAAATGCTAGTTCCAAAAAGCAGTTACAAACCACTGATGTTGCAGATAACAAAGTGAAACATTTTTTGAGGTGAGGGCCAAGGTATTCACCGCAGAGAATACAAGAGACATATTTTCATACCTTTTGTGTTTTAAATGTCAAAGAACAGAGCAGTGTGCCGTCACGACTGACCAAACATCTGCCTGAAATGCCACTGACGCTTTTATTTAGGACAAAGAGGCTGCATCTGTCACATATTTGCTCTGCAGAGATACAAGAAAATGGGCTTGAGCTTTTTACAATTTACCAAGAGAAATGTTTTCAAATTTTCAGGGTTAGACAGTAAAAGGGTTCAGATAGTTCATGCGTTGCTTTGGTGCTTACAATGCTATGTTTCTATGTAACAATAACAAAACATGATTCCAATAGTTTTTCCCATTAGAGATTGCAGAAAGTTAAGTTACTAGTTAATACCTCAGTTTAGTGTTAGAGACTTTGTACACTTTATTCAGAAAATAGAGACACAGACTAAAAAGTGGTGGTTTTGCTATTGGAATTGATTGTTGTTGTGTCCTTGAGCAAGGCACCTCACCCATCTTGCCTGTATTAGGTGTGCGCTTGTTGATGAATGATAAACAAACCCAACTGCAAACTGCATCTTGGTATTAAGAAAGCACAATATAAGTAGTTAGACATTATTTACTCATAAATAATTTGTATGTGCTTGAGCAAGACACTTGACTCACCTACCTATGTATTAATGGTGTGTGTGCGGGTATGATTGGTGATGGTTAGAGAGACAGTTAGCACAGTTTTACTTCAGTATGGTACTAAGTATAAAGGATTCTAGGCAAAAATGTGCATTCACTCTTGTCCTGGTTTAGTCCTGGTTTGAGCCCAGTTAAGCCCTGATTTAGCAATGGTCTAAGTTCAGGTTTAGTTCCATGTTTAATCATACTTGAGTCCCAGTTTTAATGTGAGTATGTGTGAACAAACCCATTGATTCTGTTTTAAAATATTAGGCCAACTGTCTGGTTTAAATAGATTGATATGCTGTGAATACTGTACATACAACAAATAAAAATAATGTTGTTTTGTTGCCTGTTTAGACATTTCCATCTAAAAGAAACACTGGTATGTATTGCCCAGCACCTGTCAGGAACATAGTGTGTTATTTTATTACCTTGTTGACATCCTGTAACACATTAGATTTCATTTCAGAGATTGTCCTGCTGCTTTGTAGTCCATAGAGACCCTCACATGTCTGCAAACCACAGATAGTTCCCTTCCCATGTAAAGAGATATATCTACAATCTAGCCTATGTAGCCACCATTTACTGCTACAGAAATACAGGACAAAACAAGCTTTCAAAGTCTGTAATGACATTTTACAAGTCACCCTTTTCACTAAGATAGATCATTCTGTAATGCTCGTTTTTTGTGCAGCAGTGCAATTGTATTATACTTCATTTGTGACAACTTGAATGAAAACGTGTCTATTTTAAGGGCTTTTTATGAAGTCTCTTGGCTGCTGTAAGCCAAAGAACAATAAACACGGTGAGTAGATTTGTGAGCGAGCTAATCTGAGCAAAGTAAAAGCCTTTTTGTAGCTAGAAGCAAATTTGGAGCAGAGCGGTATTTCTTGTGGTTTTATTAGACAACAAGAGGCAACCTATTTACTCAAGGCATTGTTTTTCACACAGTTAATGCACTTGTAGCTGTCTTTAGCATCTTCTAAGTCTGATGTGATTTATTCTGTGGTTTGTAGGTGACTCTGAACCACGGCAGACCAGTCCCAGCGGTGCTCCTGGCCAATAAATCGGATCAGCTCGCGTCTCACAGCCCCAAACTGGACACCTTCTGCAGAGAGAATGGATTTGTGGCTTGGTTTGAGACTTCAGCAAAGGTACAATGTTAACAAATAAGTAATGTAAGGTAAAAAAAAAAAAAAAAAAAGATACCCAGCATTGAAATGACATACTAATGGAGCTTAGCCTGCTCTGGTCAAATCTCCATTGATAAGAAAAAAAAAACAATCTCACAATATTAAAACTTCAAACGCATCACAGTGGAACTAGTTTCCATAATGTTTTAAGTCCAAAAAGGTCATTTAAAACACAAGATTCCTCAAAATGTTTTAATAACATTGTGACTTATAAAGTTTCAGAAACAGATTGTAAATAAAATGATAGCTCTTGTGGTCAGTAGTTAGCGTAGCTGATTATTCCTGAGCAAGCTTTTGAAGTTTTATTTATTTATTTTTTTTCTCAGAAAGTCTATGAGAAAAATGAATGGGAAATTTTGTTCCAGAACCATGGGATAGCGGTCACTGTTGAGCTCCATTTTTAAATTGTACTGTACTATAAACTGTACTATTTATATCAGTAAGATGACATGGTATTGTTAAAGTTAACTACGTATGTTTTTTTGTTGTTGAAAATTACATTATATTGTCTGAGTTATTCTGACTATTTAGCACCATGTAATAAATACAGATGAGATTTAAGATGACTTAAATCTCTACAGTTGTTGTTCAGAAGGTATGTAAAATTTGAATATTGAGTATTGTTTATAACTAAAACCATTTCAACTTTTATTTATAAAATGATAATTCTGCACATTTACAGGCCCATTTTTGCACATTTCCGATGGACTGCCATAATAGTGTCTGAATAATTTCATAGGGGATCCCCCAAAAAATGTGTCAATATTGTCCACCCCTAAATACATACAGATATTAGGGATGTAACAATAACCGAAATATTGTGATATTGTATCGTCAAAGTTCTCACAATAATACTGTGAACCATCACAATATAACGAATTACAAGTCTCTTTGCTTAAATTAAGAGTTATGGTTCAGCAATAGCTAAAAAAAGACAGCTGGAACTACATAGACCATGATCCTTTGCACCATTTCAGTGTAGACTACATGAGGAAATAACAGTTTGAAGCACTTTTAAGCCTTAGCTCTTTGGATTAAGTCTTGTCAATGCATTTTAAGAGGAAAAAGTTGCATATTCACAGTTTTGTTAGTCTCCACAAAATATCGCAATATATACTGTACTGTGCGGTGTATATAGTGATATTATGAGCTTCCCCTCGATATTGCAATAAATATCGCACCGTGAGGTTCATATTGTGACAATATCGTATCGTGAGACTTGAATATAACACAGTTCTCACAGATACATTTTAAACATTGATCTATAACATTCTTAGGACTTTGTAAACCTGCTTTCATTGGTTCATAATTAGCTGGCCAGTGTCTCTATGTAGAGGGTATGACATTTGCAGGGTTTCTGAGGGTCGTGTCTGAGGTTGGACAGTGGAAATTCCCAGCTCCATGTGAATGAACTCAGAGACTTTCTAATGAGTTTCACACCGAGGAGAGAGTCAGACGAGCTAACAATAAAAGCCTCACTGGCCGGAAGTCAAAATGAACAAATGGTATTATATTTTAAAGGTTAGTGGCATTTAGTTTAATAATAAGGTCACCTGTTTAAATTACATACATAAATTTGCATTGAGCAGGTGTACCATATTTCAGCCTATGCAGGAAGATACCAATAGTTTAGTATAGTCTTATCTCTTTAATCCTTACAAAAAATAAATCATTGAATTTCGTCCTGTGGGAGGCGCTCTTTCCTATAAAATAAGATTCTTTAAAATTTTGCAGGTGATATGAGTTAATTCTTTACAGCCAGTTTCAATAATCAAAGAGACATCTTGCAACTTGGTCATCATAGGACATTGTGCGTTCACTTACAAGTCCTGGTTTAGTACAGTTAAATTCAGATGCAGACTTGGTTTGGTTCTGTTCTAATCCTAATATAGTTCAGGATTAGTACCAAGTTTAGTACTAGTTTTGAGTATTTTTTCTTCTTTTACTCCATAGGAAAATACAAATATTGAGGAGGCTGCTAATTGTCTGGTAGGGCACATCTTAAGTAATGAGGATAACCCTGCTTTGGAGAGAGAACCCACGTCTCTGATCCTGTCTGGGTACAGCCATAGCCACCGGGACCACTTCAACCTCAACTGCCCCTCTTGCCCCAAGTGGTGATTCCTTCTGCTCTCCTGCCCCAAGCGGTGACCCCTTCTGCTCTCCTGCCCCAAGTGGTGACCCTTTCTGCTCTCCTGCCTCAAGTAGTGACCAATCATGTGACTTGTAGCGTCACATGACCAGGACAAGAGGAGCTGCTTGTCTGTGGAAATGAAGGGCAGTATAAAGCTGAAACAACCTGTGTCAAGACAGCACTTTGTTCATGGATGAGGCTTTTAATTGAGCTTTTACATTTTTTTTTCTTAGTTCATGTTGTGTCATTCCAGTGTACATGCAGTATGTTTAAAAAATATTTTGGTGGCAAATTGTAGATTGCAAATCACTGGTTTAGTATTCAAATAAAGCACATTTTATAATGGTGCACTATGTAGCTCTTCTGATGTTATTAGTATATTAACCTTAAAAATATGTCCATAGAGAAAAGCTTGTGATGCCATCAGGCGCAACAGTAAAAAACATACATGTTAAAACATGTTACTCATGTTACACCATAGAGATCAACGCAATGATCTCACAACTCTGAAAATGTATGGCTTCAGTGTTGCCATGTGGCTCAGTGGTATGGCTGACGAACATATGCACATATGCATGGCTGTCCCTGTTCTGACAGTATATGGTATGGAAATTTGTCCTTTGCCTTTGACCCATCCTTCAGTGTCTCTGGGACAATCTGTCAAGAGCAGTGCAGCATCAGGAACCCAGCAGATTTTGAATTATAGATGGATGACTAAAATGATGGGTTTGTGTGGTGTGCATGTTTTAAGCAAATAAGGATGTCAGGATTATTCAGTTGACAGTAATTGTGATTATTCATGTCATCATATGAACTACAATATCACTTGTGACAAATTTAGAAGCAAAAATTAATTCCAGTTTAATCAACAATCCAAAAAAATATTCCCAAATGTATTTTTCTTTGTTTATCTGGCTGTTTATCTCTTTTATGATTTGATAATAGCTGGTCACACACTTGACAATCGGGAATGTATTAGACAATGGGAATCAACGAAAATGAAGGATTTCACTCTTGTTTGGTGTTAGTGTCAATAGTTTTGACTAACTGTAAAATTCTGATGTTTTTTTCTAACAATTATCAAAGCACTAAAGTTTTATATCATGCCATTTGTAAATTTGTCTCCCTGCTTTCTATTCCATATACTGCCTGCGGTAAATAAAACAGCTCGTATTTCAATTTTCTCTCAAAATGTTTTTGTTCTTGGATGTGATTAAAAGCACACTGTGAAGTGAATCCTGATTTTGAATTGTCTATGGTCCATACACATCTTTCCACAACCTCCTCCACCACATTTGGATCACTGTTGTATCTCTAATGAAGAGAAACAGTGTAAATGTGTGAGTGTATTTCTGTGTTATTATCTGTTTGATCTGCTGCATCTGAGGCTCTGTGTTAATCATTTAAATCCCCTTCACACTCAGAGCAAACATCCTGCTCAAACGTCCTACTTTCTCTCCTCAATTACATCTCATCAGCGCCGTTATCAGGAATTAGACCAAGTACTGGGTCAGGGTTTCACATGCACAACCTCCACATAATATAATGGCTCAAGATTTTTTTTACAGTCACAGAAAGTTCCTTGAAGGGCAGTTATTGTGTTTTGTAAGCTTGGACATTAAACTGGTGTCAGGGTTTACTATTGTGAACAAGGGAAATTGTGAAATCGCACTTGTAAGGACCTTTATAGTGCATTTACTGATAAAGATAATTCCAGGATTTTTAGCCTTTCATGTCACTGATTGTGGTAAATGATGCGACACGGTAGCATCAACTGGTGTAAGTGTATGTACTAGGTTATGTAACACTTATGTCAGTAATTAACAGTTGTAGAACTTATGAAAGAGAAAATAGCTGCCTGAGTATTTTTACTTCACCTTACTCCTTTTAAGCACTGTATTTGTATGCAATTGATGCTTATGAACAGAACTGAATATACAGTAAATGTAAAAACTGATGTTTAGATTCACTGTTGCTATAATCCTGCTTCCCAACATGCAAGGGGTGCCAAATTCTTGTCTATCTGCAAAATTTAATATAGAGAGGCTTATCCAATATACTGTGTGTTGAGGTCTTAACATTGAGCCTTTCTCACCGGCAACTGTCATCTAGTCTTTTTAATATTTACAGTGGTAATTACAGTTTTAACAAGCCATCATCAGAACTGTTAAAATGGTTTGTTGTAAAAGTTGTAATCCAATATGCACTTCTGGTTTGAAGAAATAAATTACATTAAAATTGATTGATGTCTGGACAGGTAAAGTCGGGAGGACACTGCGCTTGCATGCAATTCACTTGGCCAAAGTGTCTAATGAGACAGGATGTGTAGTAGCCATACTTGGATTTGAAAGTCTGTGTAGAAGCACTGTCTGCCCCTCTCACTGTCTTGCTATTTGTTTTTTGCCACTGCTGCTCTGGCAGCAGGAAAGGAGCCGAATTGGTACTACAGGCAGCAATGCATGATGGGAACTGTAGTTCAAATTCTTACGCATTTATGCATTTTATTTGTGGGTCACTGTCAATAGAAATTATTGGGGGCCCCATCTGGCCCGCAGGCCGCAAGTCGAGGCCCCCACTGTAGAGTATAATACAGTAGGTTAAAACATGCCTTATACTGTCTAGTGTCTGGGAAGCAATGAGATCATTGAAGCATTTGTCCAGTGAAGGAGTAAACACGAGTGGCTCAGATAATGGCACTGGGGCAATTAAAGAGATGTTTCCATTAAATAGACTTTTCAATTAGAGATAAAAGCTTCAGGCGATTTGTACACAACTTTAATTAGACAAAGTAAACTGCTTTCTTTAATCACGCCATGCAAAATTTTTGTTTATTTACATATTTTTCAAATTTCAGTTCCTCCACTTTTAGTCATTTAAATTTCAGGACAAAGCAAGAACAAAGAAATGAATAATTAAACCAAACATACCAAACCTGGTATGTTGAGTTTAATGCAAGTCTAGAACATGGCAAAAGAAGGACTGAAGGGCTAAACCATCAAAACAAAAACTCTTCACCAGAATTAAATCAGGAAAGAAATGGACCATAGTAATTCGATCTTATGGTGGAGAAAATGTGATCTAACTTAATAAACCTCTACTAACTAGGTCTACAGAAAAAGATGATACATCATAAAGAGGACAAACCAGAACTAAACCAGGATTACAACAATCAATATAGATTTAGACAAGAACTTATTCAGATCTTACTCAAAGACAACATTTATTCTGGTCACATGGTCGACATTTTTGTGTTCATGTTCAGCTTTTAATTTAAGCCTTATTTTTGGATAGACAATGAGATTTGGTTTCTTTAGTTTCATTTTCTGCATTGGCCATAAGTATTGGCGTAGTCCTTTGTTATGCAGGTTTTGGTCTGACCCTGATCCAGCCCTGCTCCTGTCAGCATTAGTTTAACTGTGTACTCCTCTCTGTCCCATTGAAGGCGGTAACACGGTCTGATCCCGCCTCTGGCTCTGTTTAAAATTCACTGTTTCAAATTATGCATCTGCTTCAGTGTTGACGGCGCGCTTTGATGTGTAATAACATGGACTATAGCAGCAACTCTTTTCAAACTGTGTGCTCTATACATAAAAGACTGTGAAGTAAATTGAATTGTATAAACTGTGTAGTGCTATTGGCATTGTGTTAAACCATGTGTCTTCTTAGTGAAGCATATGCAATCAACATTTGTGCCAAAAACAACTTGTTCTGACTGTAAATATATCCTATGGCTTAAGCACAGAAGGTGAGAGAGACAATGTACCCCCACCCTAGGCCCAAAGTAGCAGGGATTCAGCTACAGACCAAAATAGTACTAAAATAGCTAAAGGAAATACAGTAAAATAACATTTAAGCAATATGGTCTATTGTAGCAGTCCCCAACCTTTTTTCTCATAAGGACAGGTATTAGACATATAACATTTTTCAGGGACCACTGAAGGGAGGGTGGGGCAAGTAATAATAGAGCAAACTCCAATGCTTTGAAAAAAAGTCTGAATACTCATGCTTGCAATTTACCAGGTTAAATATACTACATTGTAGTATATTTTCAGAGTAAAACACATAAATATGGAAGTAGACTAAAAAACTTGTAAAACTCCTCTCAAAGATGTGTTATTTTCCTGTGGGGTCCTGTGACAGTGGTGGTTGGGAAGTGGTGGTTAGTGAATAAAAATGCAGGATTTGATTTGTGTGTTTATGTGTCTTCCACAGATCACATGGAATAAGGATCCTGGATGAAATTAAGCAAATTGTAGAACAGAATTGAAAGTAAACTTTATGATTCAGTCAATGCATTTTACCTTGAATGACAAAGTTTTAACTCTCAGTGGAGTCATGGAGGAGGTTTGTACAGTCCAATGACTTCTGTGCTTATGTACCTGCAACAAAGTACAAAAACGTGACACAAATGTGTCAGAAGATCACAGATGAGGCCAAATTTCGAGAGTTATTGAAAACATTTATAGTCGTTGCATGTACATGTTATGCATCGGTCATGGTTAGGACTGGACCACATAATGTCATCTGAAACATAGGGGTGTTGTGAATCGATTAAATGAACATGTTTGCTATGGTTGCTGCTGCCAGCATCAACAAGATCTAAATAAAATACAGAAAGAGATCATGTGAAGAGTCTACTGGGCTGACCATGTTATAAGAACATTTCATGTGCCCTGAAAATATGTTATAGCTCTTAATAAATCATTATCAAGGGGATCAAAGGAAAAGGTAATTAAATACGAAAGATATCATTTTATATACTTTAGTTATTACATTCTGTCTAGAAATTAAGATAATTTTGCATGTTACTTAAAGAAGGATATCAGCCAGATATTGCATTTTATTTGCATTTTCACCATTTCACCACTCTTAATTAATTAATTGGAACCAGGGATTTATAAATTCAAGATGAAATCAGTTTTAACTGTAATTCAAGCCTAGACCATAAAACATAACCTTGCAAAAAATAAATAAGGCCTTTCCAGCGCACACACTTTCTTATCAAAATTGGGACAAAGCTGTAACTAACCCTAAAAATAAACCTGGACTTGTCCAGAACTAGACCTGGACTAGAAATGGACCAAACTACATCTACACCCGAATTAAGCTGGGATAAAATCAGAGCCAAATTTGGACAAATTTGAATGTATGAATGGTTTTTTTTTTGTTTGTTTTTTAAGTGATAAAACTATATTTCTTAAAATCAAGCTTTATTTTACTGTGCACAAATAAAAAGAGATGACCTTTTCATTCAGGCCTCACATCAGCAAAACATCATCTGCAAAATCATATGTAATATAATGTGCTATGCTTATAAATTTTATGTCAGATGCCCTTCCTGACCTCTTCCTATCAAATACTGCACAGCTTGTTACTCATATGACTGTATTACATTTCAACACCATCAGTCTTCCAATATTTTTAGAACGTATGATTAATTAATTTTCTAAGGTCCATAGAGTCAGCATGGCACAATTATCAGGTAAAATCTAGTTATAATTTTAATCTTGTTGGAGATATTAATTTAACATGAACTAATTACTGGTTGCAGAGGACATTTAATTATATAAAGTGGGTTTATGATGTGCTCAGCGAAGACTTTCACTGAGGACAGGGACAGGAGGATAATGCATTGTTTTAAATTGTTCCTCGGAGCTAACTGCACATCTGGTGCTTATTGTTAATGTGTTTGAGGAAGTCTGTCAGAGAAATTCTTCCTGTTATCAGCACAAAATGACAGATAAGATGAAAATATGCAAGGACAGAGTTGCCATATGTGAAATGTTTCATCTAAGAATAGAAAATAATAGTAAGACTTAAAGGTGAGTAACTTTTCTGGTGAGTTGTCCATCCTGGCTGACTCCATGGAGATGCTTTTGTTTTGGAATGTTTCACAGTATGGAATTAAGCATATCTTTCTTCAAGTGGCCTCCCCTGCACCAGAAGTGTTTCACAGAGCTTCTTTATTAGGATGACCAGAATTTCAAATATCAAAATTGGGACACACAGGGGTTAGGATGGTTGGTATAAATAAAATCATGAAAAGGGTGCGGACATTGTCCATTCTCAACTCACTTGCGGGTCAAGCATGACATGACAATATATTCCCCTCTTCACTGTTGGTGGGTATCAAACTGATCAAAATAGGGACCTCTGGGACAACTCGGACACATCACTGGTTTTGGATAATTCTGCTGGGACAGGGGAGACAGAGCTCAAAACTGGGATTGTCCCGGGTAAATAGGGACGTCTGGTCACCATAACCTTTAAAATATGGTCATCAAAAAATGGCTATGATAGTGTTGAAAATGTGTCTGTAAAGACTACATGAAACATTATAATCTAATCTACATTGATTTTGATGTTTACTATTTTAATTATGAATCTTTATCAACAGAGGAGATACAAGTGTAGACACAATATTAATATTTTGACACAAAGGGTTGCGGGAGGCTGGCTACACTTCAAATATCTGTACAATACTGTGTGACCATGGAAGCATATAGGCTCTAGATGTAATGCATAAGATATTGGCATGCCCTGTGGTTCAAAAGAAGAAAGAGCCTTATTCTTATAATGGTATAGTTTATAAAAGGTATGCCTAAAAGACTTAAAAAGCAGACATTATCCACTATAGCCCCACACATTCAAGGGCATCCCCCAAAATACAAGGCATGTGTATGTGTTCCTTCAAAGGTGCCCCGGTGTCTGCTTTCATCCACACAGCACATCCGCACAGTATTTGACATTAGGCTATCACTATATCTCTATTACAACCCTCTCTCACTGTTGCCTATCTCGGCTCACAGTGAACCAGCTGCTGCTTTTCTCTCCTTTTCGCCGCTTTCCATCAAAAGGGGGCATCCTTCGGCTTTAAGATCCCCTCCCAGGACACGGCTAGTGCGGCCCAATGGCACCGCGCTCCGAGTCACCTGATTCATGCACTGCCATTTTACACACGGGCCCCTCGCTCTCCCCCCTCTCTCTCACACACACATAGGCGCACACACAACTTTCACTGGAAAACGGGGGGAGACGAGACCGAAATATACACCCTCCTTTTTTGTAGGAGATGAAGTAGCTGCCTTTGACCGCAGCCGGCGTTTGCAGTGCGCGCACGGGTTTGTGGGATGTGACAGAAGACGATACAGGAGGACAATGCCTTTTTATATTTGCCAAACGAAGATGCTGGCTGCGTAGTTTTGTGCCATATTGGGATAATTTCTAAATCAGGGATAGCTGTACTGTAGCTGCTTGTATGTTTTTTTCTATAACGACGTCTTTTTCTCCAAATGCCTTCGACAGAATAAGAAATGGTCGCTTGGATTTGACCGTGTCTCTATATGAATCCATCTGGCGGATTGTAGACCGGAGCACCCCTCGCTCGTAAAGACATTTTGATCGTCCTCTCCTCCACCTCTCCACCTCCACACCCCGGACATCAGCTCTCTTCTCGCCCCCACTCTCTTGCCTCCTCTTTGGCCCGTGTGTGCGTGCGTGTGTGAGAGTAGTGAGAGTAAAAACATGTCGGGACAGTCATTGACGGACCGTATCGCTGCCGCGCATCACAGCATGACCGGCTCGGCGATCAGCAAAGCGGTGTGCAAGGCCACGACACACGAAGTCAGCGCGCCCAAGAAGAAACACCTTGACTGTAGGTTAAACCACTCTCACACTCACACACATACATTCACTCCATTGCTACAAAGACGTGTCCATTTAAGCTAATTACGCATCATTACATTCCCATAGACGGGTAATGGCATGCGCCGTACAGTAGCCGCTCGTTACAGGGCATTGGTAAACCACAATGGCAGTAAATGTACGGCGAGGCAGGTGTGTTATATATGTGTGTGTGTGTCATCTTGGGAAATTAGGCCACTCCGCTATAGGCTAATCATATTGCAAGCAGCGGCGGTACAGTGTAAAGGCCCTATCTATTATTTACGCAGTGGTTCTTGACTGGAGAGCCACCCTCGGTACTTAATGTGCTCTTTTTGCACCGGTATCCCCTCGTCTGCCCGCATCATGACAAGGCTCGTGTTGTCCTTAAGAGTCAATAAAACGCGTTGTCAAACCTACATATCCACGTACAGGCCGTAAATAGTGTCAGAGCATCCTTTATCTCCTGCCCAGGACGAGAAGGGCGCCCAGAGAGCACCCATCCAGGCTAACACTATGTGCCTGTTCCCTCTGCTGCTGAATAATGTATTATAAGCCGCAAATAAGTCCTAATTTATGACCCAATTCGTTGTTGTTGTCACAGCTTGTACCATTTCCCAAATTAGTTTTAATAGAAATGCAATTTAGATTTAAAACAAGCCTTGACTTTGGCTGTTCCTCTTGATGTCAAAAAGTTAATTAACCAAATGGTGACAGTGGACTACAATTCTCCGTTTCTATCTAATTGCATTGGTCCAGATAGAGTGGCCTGTGTATTTCAATATATCAAAGCATTAATTCATATTGGAAGCTTTCTTTGTATCTATTTCCAATCTGAATCTCTTGATATTGTACTCACTTGACCTCTTCCAATACTATGGAACTATCTAATATACTTGATCAAACGTGCATGAAGATTCTAATAAGTCAACAAAGTCATAGTGATGATTAGCAGGGCCTATCTGGACATACAAAGGGTTGAGTGTGCACACATCCAAATGACCTTATCATAACCTTAGCACTCCTGGTTCCTATCACCATGGGTTCCTAAATGAAGATAAAGAGGAAACGGTGTAGTCAAAAGGTCAAATCACTTGAACCTAAAATGGTTGTTAATCTACATACGACATAAGGAGACATTTATTAAGAAGTTCATAAAAGAATATGTGTAATGACATCTAAGAATCATAAGTGTTCTTGTGAATTTGATATGAAGATTGCTATGACTTTCAGAAGTGCACATATTACCCAATGAGCCGTTATATTACAATGAATTTACAAAAAAAAAGTGACATGATAAAATAGCAGTGTGACCAATCATTTTCAGGTTATTTTAGATGTTCATATTCACATTTCTGCTTCAGCAAGCGGTTAAGTGGCAAGAATTAAGCCGACATCATATAGCTCAACTTAAAAGCGTCCTTTAGTATGTCAGTCGTTTTAACTCATTAGATAAAGTGCTTAGTTACTAGATCATATTTCATACCATACTTATGAAAAAGTCCATAAATTGATATTGAACTAATGCTGTCTTTGCCAATGTGCTATCAGCAAACTCCCACTGAAGACATTCTTTCTATACTCTCCTCATGGCTGAGATCATCTGCTGAAAAGATACAATTTCCCAGAAGAAAAACATTTTTGCCAACCAGCCCAAGTTCATTGCCATCTTCAAATGAAAAATGTTAACTGGAAGCAGCGCATACCTCAGCAGCTCATGTTTGCATCATATTTGATTCCATTTTGAGGTATAGGAATATTGCTATAGTTTAGTTACAATACAGGGAGCCAATTGTGGGTGATTCAATAAACCGTCTGTGGTAATTATCGATGTCGGGAAACAAGAAACTAGCAATTATGCAGCCTACACCAAGAGGAGGAGGACACTTCACGTTCAGATAAACTAGTCATTATTTGTTTTGGTGGTTTTTCTACAACTCTTTAATTACCTCACATGATCAATGCGGAGTAGAGGGGATCAATGACACTGCCCGTTTGACACATACAAGGACATATAGGAAGTCTACTATGGCCTATAGGAGTATATGTATAGTACCTGAATTCACAGACATTTCCGGCAAATCTATATATGGGCAAAACAACTATTTGACCTTGATGACAATAGGGTTAGCGATCCACTAAAGGTTCCATGGAAGCGCTTTGTACCTATTAGTTCTAAGCCCAGACAAATGGAGAAGGTCACATTTACAAGAGGGAATATTGGGTGAAATCTATTATCTTAATCTAAAATCTAAAAGCCAGCTAAATGTATAAATCACGGTACTGTAAGAGACTATTTGAGGAGAGTGGACACTAAAAAGCAAAGAAGATGGCAGATGGTAGTGGTAGCAGTTGTATTTATTGTTCTATTTCTAGAGAAAGTACTCAATTCAGTGGTAGCTGTGGTGATAATAAAGTTCAGCCCTTTTACAATACATATAACAGTTACTTTATACTAGTATAATTTTATAGCTACTTGTGTCACATGAGGGCAAACGCTAGTATTAGGATTATCAGGAAGTATTCCAAGTAGTAGTAGTAATTACCTCTTGTATTGCATAAACAAATAACAAAACATGTTTAATCAATAATACTAATGCTACATGGAGTATAGTAGTAATTTTGTAAGTGGTAGTCGTACTTTTACTTGAGTGCCTATTTTGGCTACCTCTTGTACCTCTAATGGATAGGAAGCACAAAAAGAGACAAAAAACGTAAACATGTTTTATCAGTAAGTTCTAATGCCAAAAAGAAAGCTCTGTAGTACTGTAAGTATGTAGAGAATTTAGTAGTATTTGAGTTCCTATTTTGATTATTTCCATGTATTTACTGGATAAGAGAAAAAATAAAAAATGCTTATCAATCATTCCTTATACCACACAAAGCTGTAGCTGTGGTTTCCATATTAGTATAGTATTAGTAGTAGTAGTAGTAGTAGTAGTAGTGGTACATTTACATGAGTGCCTATTTTGCTTACCTCTTGTACTTCCAGTGGATAGAAAACACACAGAAAGACAAAAACCTCAAAATGGCTAATCAATAATTCCCCAAAGCTCCAGTCTCCGCCCACACAGACACCCGGCCAGTCCAGCGTCAGACACAGGGTTTGGCATCGGATCAGTCAGTCAGTGGAGAGAAAGGCATGCTGGGAAATCTGGGCCCATTCCCACTGAATCTGCTACTGTCGGCTCAGTGCAGCTACATTAACGGCATGACAGAGAAAGCCTCGAAAAAGCGTTGGCGTGTTCTGGCAGGAGACGCCCAGAGAAGTGTCCAAGGAGGTTCAAAATAAGGTTATAGTTCTCCAAGCTGATGCTATGCTTTCATTAAATATTACTTCATTATTAGTCATTACTGTTTATTTAGGTTGTGCACTATCAAGGTGGAAAAATGTCAAGATACAATATGGATAATGATGCACAGTGATGGAGATCCACAGTGCACCATGCAGTTTAAAAATATATAAAGCCTTTATTGATGTAAAGGTGAACTGTGTAACACTTCTTTTCTACAACAAAATAAATGTGAAAATAAATTTAAAGCCAAACTGGGTAGCATTCTGGGCAAAGCAATAACATCTCCATGGAGACAAGCAGGTGGGGGACTTGCCACCTGAAAAATTTCTCACTAACTTTTTGATTGAGGGTCTGTCACCTGCTTGCTTTTATGGATATGTCATTGCTCTGCCTGAAATATTCCACAGTATGACATTTAACAGCACTACCTTACATTTACTTAAATTACAGTTTGTTCTATAGCTCAAAAATACCTAGAAAACAAGCATTCTGACTGTGAACAAGGTTGCCTCTCTACAGATCTGACCTGTAATGTGGTCTGGTTTGGTCTTCATGAAGATAAAAAGGTTTAATTCCATACTATAAAACATTTAAGACAAAGCAATAGCATCTCCATGAAGAAAAAATACACAATGCACCTTTAAACTAGAGCTGATCTTGTATTACATATTTACATAAGTGTTACATAGTCTATGATTTGGCATCGGTTGCTTGTTCAGTTTGTCTAAGGGGAAACAGCAGTATATTGTGCTGGTTTTCATTCAGTTCCAAAATCAAATGTTATAAAAAGAAACCCAATTGTCCACCAGTAATTCAACATTGTCACCTAACCTCACTCTCTATTGACATTTCATTAAAATACAGGTGGATGAAGCCTGTTCAGCATAGCTTAAACCTGTAACGTCCTAAACTGCAGCAGTGTGAGTGCAGAGATCTGAAAATAGAAAAGCCGGCGGGAGCGTTTACATGACAAATTTTCATCTGTCAGACGGATTATAAAAGGTCCAAGCCACAAGTCTCAAGGACAGTAAACTTTCTCTGTGAGTGCGGCTGTTTATTTTGTTTAAACAAGGCTTATTTTGTCTAACTCAAAATCCTGTCTGACTTGGAATTCAATAAGGGTGTTAATAATTAAAAACCCAGCCAGACTTCACTTACCTTGGACTTAATCAGTTTTGTACATGTTGTAGCTTTCTTTCTCAATAAACAGCTTTGTTAGTTGCAAATGGACTTTATGGAGTCTTACTAATCCTCAAATTCCCATATCACATGACTTGGGAATTCTGTGTGGAATTAGTCTGCCCAAGTTTAAGGTTTCAAAGTCCACTTGACTCGAGAAAAGTAAAAAAAAAAATTTAAAAAAGGTGTGCAAAAATGGTTAGAAATATGACAAAGGTGCACTATGTATCCTTTATGATGAGTGATACGCACCTTCTTGTCTCCATGGAGATGTTATTGCTCTACCTGAATGCAGTATGACCTTAAACATTTTCTAGTAGGGATGTAACAATAACCGAAATATCATGATATCGTATCGTCAAAGTTCTTACAATAATATCGTGGACCATCACAATATATCGAATTACAAGTCTCTTTGCTTAAATTAAGAGTTATGGTGCAGCAATAACTAAAACAAAAAGGACAGAGCGGACTACATAGACCATGATCCTTGGCTCCATTTCAGTGCAGACTACAT